ATTCTAGGCAGGGGCTCTACCACTGAGCCACACCCCCAGCCCCTCACTGGGGGATTCTAGGCAGGGGCTCTACCACTGAGCCACGCCCCCAGTCCAATATTACCTTTTAGCCCTGTAATTTGTTCTTGTAATAGTTATTCAAGGTGGGCTAACTGCTGTCACAAATAATCCCAAACTCTTAATGTGTTAACAAAAACTCAATCTGAGTTGAGCATTGTGGTGCACACCTTTTAAATTTTTTATTTTATTTACTTGTTTTCCAGACTTTGTTTTCAGACAAGGTTTACTTGTGTAGCCCTGGCTGTCCTGGAACTTGCTCCGTAGATCAGGCTGGCCTCAAACTTGGAGATCCACCTGCCTCTGCCTCCCGAGTGCTGGGGTTAAAGGTGTGCGCCACCAAGTCAGATGTGGTGGTGGCGGCGGCGGCGGCGGCGGCGGCGGCGCACGCCTTTAATCCCAGCACTCGGGAGGCAGAGGCAGGTGGATCTCCGTGAATTTTAAGCCAGCCTGGTCTATGGAGCAAGTTCTAGGTAAGGCAAGGCTGTATAGAGAGACCGTGTCTCATGAAAATGTCTAAGGCAGGGCTGTGGAGGACACTCGGATGAGGAGCTCTTTCTCGTGTGAGACCCCGCTCTTCCATGTGCTTCCTGGGTTGTTCTGGCCCTGTTCGTGTGCACACTTGTGTTCAGTGGTAGGGGAGAAAGACAAGGCAGGAAGAATTGTATCCAGCACTATAGCCATTGGCCCCCAATCAGTCACGTGGCCACACCCAGCCACAGGGATGCTAGGGGAAATTAGCATAGGCGTGTGACAGAGCCAGGACGTTACGTGGAACAGACCACTCAGAATGTAGAAAAATGACGGACGAGAGCCCGGGGGCAGTGCTGTACACTCGTAACCATACCACGGTGGACGCTGAGGCAGGTGGATTAGGAGTACAAGAGCAGCTTGACTTACATGGTGAGACCTTGTCTCCGAACACCAAAACGGTGGGGGAAACTCGCTATTTACTCAGATTGTGGGTGGGAGGTTTAGATTGAGTCAGGTGGGCAGACTTCTCTCGGTTTACACTGGAGCCACCTGGGGTTCAGTTGGAGTGTGAGATTCAAGGTGGCCTCCATCACAGGATGGGTGGCAGATGCCTCAAAGAGGCTATTCTGGGTATTTTTACCAACAGTCTCTGGGTGACAGATGGCACACAGGAAGCTGTTAGACATCTTTAAGCCTGGGCTTTGTGACTCTTACTAGATTATTTCTAACAAAAACACCTCTCCCTCCCCAGCTTGGTCTCCTACTGCTCCCTATGTAACTGAGGATGACCTTAAACTTCTGACCCCCTGCCTTGATCTCAAGCCCTGGGATTGCAGGCATTCACCACCACACTCAGTTTATGCTGTGCGGGGGACCTAACTCAGAGCTTCATGCCTGCTAGGCAGGTACTCTAGCTACAGACATCCCCACCCCAGTGTGTGTGTGTGTGTGTGTGTGTGTGTGTGTGTGTGTGTGTGAGAGAGAGAGAGAGAGAGAGAGAGAGAGAGAGAGAGAGATCTTTTGTCTTTCAGACAGGGTCTTGCTTTTGATATATCCCAGCCCTGCACTCCAGACCCTTCCTGCCTCTGCCTCCCAAGGACTAGAATTTTCAGGGCTACATCTACCAGGTTCTCTTGGTCACTGCAAGTCCTAAGTTGGCCCAGATTCAGGATGGTGAGCCTCCTGAATGGGACGGTCAGCTGAATCCGCTTGCAGAGGATCTCTGTAGACCAGGCTGGCTTGGAACACAGGGAGAGAATTGAGGGAGGAGAGGGAAAAGGAATTTGTAACCGGATGTGATGATGTAAACCTATAACTCCAGCACTGGAGAGGCACAGGCAGGGAGATCCTGTCAATTCCAGGCCAGCCTGGTCTATATATGTTCCAGATGTGGGAAGACAACCCATCCAATGAGCCTCAGTGGGTGCCCGGGTGTGAAAGACGTCAGCCTCCCACGCTGGGCGAACTCCGGCTCTGAGATCCAACGGGGATTTCTCCTGTCAGAGCCTCCAGTTCCTGTCCATCTTCCTGGCAGTTCTCCCCCCTCCCTCTTGCTCCTAACGCCCTTGTGCTACCACAGACACACGCCAGAGTCTTGCCTCGGCTCCTCTGGAGACCATTCTGCCTCTCCAGACTGGAGAGAGAGGACTAACGGCCAGGTTTGGTGGCTCACACCTGTAATCTCAGCACTCACGAAGCTGAGGCAGGAGGGTTGCCATGAGTTTGAGGCTAATCTGGGCTGCAGGGTGAGAGACTATTCTCAACAACAAACCGGGATCAGAGTTCAGTAAGTGCAAGGATCAGAGTTCCAGTCCCCAGTACCCACATAAGTCGGCTGTGGTCCTGGAAGCTTGCACCAAAAACAGAGATGGGATCCTCAGAGTAAACTGGCTAGTGGACCTGCTGTTTATCAATCCCAACCCGGATCTGTCATCTCTGGGTTCCACTGAGAGACCCTGCTTCAATGAATAAGGTGAAGAACCTTAGAGGAAGACTCCATAGGTCAGCCTTGGATCTCAACACACGCATGTGAACACGCGCGCACACACACACACACAACTGAATGTCATCTCAGGGACTCTTCCATCTGTTTCTCTTGGTTCAGGAACGGGACAGGAAGTGCAGACAGAGAATGTGACAGTGGCCGAGGGTGGGGTGGCTGAGATCACCTGCCGTCTGCATCAGTATGATGGGTCCATAGTTGTCATCCAGAACCCAGCCCGGCAGACCCTCTTTTTCAATGGCACCCGAGGTGAGTGCGGGGACCCTTGACACCTGTGACCTCAAAGAGGACACATCTACACTTCTGACGGGCAACAGGGCTGAGAGCCTTTGCTCTCAGGGTCCTGCGGGGGGCGGGGGTGTGTGGGGCGGCGCTGGAATGGGTTCCCAAGGGAACAAACAGTTGAATAAGCCATGTCTGGGGGAAGGTAGGGGGCTGCGTCTGTCCTGGAGGGTAGCTGTCTGGAGACCAGAAGCCCCAAGGTTGAAGCCCTCTTCACTGTAGCTCTCAAGGACGAGCGATTCCAGCTGGAGGAGTTCTCCCCGCGTCGAGTGCGCATCCGGCTCTCCGACGCCCGCCTGGAGGACGAGGGCGGCTACTTCTGCCAGCTCTACACGGAGGACACCCACCACCAGATCGCCACGCTCACTGTCCTAGGTACTGGCCTTCCCCCTCTCAGAGCCTCACTCATTCATTCTCTGCTTCTCGCTTGTCCTGAGACCTATGCGCCCTGGACGTCTGGCTCCACCAGACCTCTGGTCTCTGCGCATGACCCCTGCCACCTGTGGGACCCTGGCTCCCTCTGGTCCCTAGGATCCAGCAGCCAGATTGACTTGAGCCTACCTCGGTGCCTCCCTTGACCCCCTCCCCTCCCCTCCCCAAACACCCGCGCCCCTTTTCCGCGCAGTGGCTCCGGAGAATCCTGTGGTGGAGGTCCGAGAGCAAGCGGTGGAGGGCGGCGAGGTGGAACTCAGCTGCCTGGTTCCGCGGTCGCGCCCCGCAGCGGTTCTGCGCTGGTATCGCGATCGCAAGGAGCTGAAAGGTACCCAGGGCGAGGCAGGCAGGGAGGAAGAGCAGGGCGGGGGTGGGGTGGGGTGGGGGCTCCGGGCTTGGGAAAGAGGCGGGGCTAAGGGTGGGCGGGGCCTGGAGAGTAGCGCACCGGTTCTCACGGACGCTTTCCATTTGCTGTTCAACAGTTGAGCCAGGCGTGATGGCACACGCCTGTCATCCCAATCTTTGAGAGGTGGAGGGAGGAGGATTAGGAGTTCAAGATCATCCTCGGCTACATAGCGAGGCCAACCTGGACCACTCCAGACCCTGTCTCAAAACAAACAAAGCGAAACTAACAAAACTTAGACCAGGCTCCTAAGGGGTGGGAGAGACAGGGGGTGTGGCTAGGTGAAAAAAGGCCAGGCTTTTAGTTAGGAATATGGCTTGGCCAGCAGGCTACATTGGGATCAGGAGGCAGGGCAGAACCCCTGGCCTGACGTTTCTGGCCTGGGTCCGGCAGGAGTGAGCAGCGGCCAGGAGAACGGCAAGGTGTGGAGCGTGGCGAGCACCGTGCGGTTCCGTGTAGACCGCAAGGACGACGGCGGTATCGTCATTTGTGAGGCGCAGAACCAGGCGCTGCCCTCGGGACACAGCAAGCAGACGCAGTACGTGCTGGATGTGCAGTGTAAGTACTCTGGGGTCTGCACGCCGGCCGCCCGGCCCTGGAGGTCCCCCACCCCGCAGAATGATCTCTCATTTTCCCCTCCTGCGCTGCAGACTCCCCCACGGCGCGGATCCATGCCTCTCAAGCTGTAGTGAGGGAGGGAGACACGCTGGTGCTGACGTGTGCTGTCACAGGGAACCCCAGGTGAGATCTAACTTCTGGCTCCCAAGGGGTGAGGAGACTTGGGGCTTGCACTCCTGGGTCCTATGGAAAAAGATAGTGAGGCCGGACTCCTGATGAAAAGGGCTTGGAAGCGGTGAATTCTCAAAGCTCTGGCTACATGCAGAAGCTGGCCTCAAGCCTGTCACTTGGTTTTCCACAAGAAAAGGGCTGAGAGATGGTCCTTTTGTTTGGTTTTGTGTTTTGGGTTTTTGTTGTTGTTGTTTGTTTGTTTGTTTGTTTGTTTGTTTCTCAAGACAGGGTTTCTCTATGTAGTTTTGGTGCCTGTCCTGGAATTCACTTTGTAGCCCAGGCTGGCCTTGAACTCACAGAGATCCGCCTGCCTCTGCCTCCCGAGTGCTGGGATTAAAGGTGTGTGCCACCACCGCTGGACTGAGGTGGCCCTTTTTATTAAAAGGAAGGAAGGAAGGAAGGAAGGAAGGAAGGTAGGAAGGAAGAAAAAAAGGAAGGAAGGAAGGTAGGTAGGCAGGTTATGGCCAGGTGGTGCCAGGCGGTGGTGGCTCTCGCCTTTAATCTTAGCAATCGGGAGGCAGAGGCAGGCGGATCTCTGTGAGTTCGAGGCCAGCCTCGTCTACACAGTGAGTTCCAGGACAGCCAGAGCTACACAGAGAAACCCTGTCTTGAAAAACAAAACAAAACAAAAAATTATGGGGCCCAAGGAATGGCTCAGCTGTTCATCCAGAAGACCCTGGTCCAAATGCCAGCGCCCATGTAGTAGTGGCTTGCAGTCCTCTGTAACTCCGGTCACAGGGGATCCGACGCCCTCTTCTGGCTTCTGGGGGCACTGCAGGCCCGAGGTGCACTGACATACATGCAGATAAAACCCCATACACATACATACTTTTAAAAATATATGTTTGCGAGAGGTGGTACGCATACCACTGCGCATGCAGGGAGGTCAGAGGACAACTCGTGAGAATTGCCCTTCCACTGTGTGGGTCCCAGGAATCTCATTCATAATCAGGCTTATCGGCAAGTGTCTACCTTTTGAAACATTTCACAGACAGAGTTGTCGGGTCTTCTTCATTCCCTTTCATTGCTGGGGATTGAACCTGGCACCTTATACATAGCTGGTACAGGGTCTACCATTGGAACACACACACACACACACACCAGCAGTGACAGTGGAAGTTAATGCTGGATCGGAGCTGCATATCCAGATTCCTGGAGAAGTCAGATTCTTGGGTTGCTAACTCTGTTTTTACCCATGGCCAGGCCAAGCCAGATCCGCTGGAACCGGGGGAATGAGTCTCTGCCGGAGAGAGCGGAGGCGGTGGGTGAGACGCTCACCCTGCCGGGCCTGGTATCTGCAGATAACGGCACCTACACCTGCGAGGCGGCAAACAAGCACGGCCACGCGAGGGCGCTCTACGTGCTTGTGGTCTACGGTGAGGGCGGAGCGTGTCAGGCCTGGGGGCGGGGCCGGGCCGGGCTACAGGGCGTGAGGGCGGAGCCTGAGCAAAGAGGTCGGTTGCGTGGTTAAGTAGCCCAGGGGTGGGGAACAATTTGAGTCAAAAGAAAAGGAACATGCTAGCTGACCATGGCGGACTCTACTGTTATCCCAGCGCTTTGGAGGCGAAGGGATCACTCATTCGAGGCCAGCCTGAACTAAATAACCAGTCTACCAAAAAAGGGCGCTTGGAGGGGGTGTTGGCTGGAGGTGTAGCTCAGTTAATAGAGTGCTTGCTTTGCTCGTGTGATAAAGCTTGGATGCAGTTCCCAGTACCACATAAATCCGATACCATGCCTGTAATCCCCGAACTCTGGAGGTTGAGGAAGGATAAGAAGTTCAAGGCCATCTCCATCAACTTAAAAAAAAAATTTAATTTAACTTTATTTTATGTGCATTAGTATGAGGGTGTTGGATCCCCAGGAACTGGAGTTACAGACAGTTATGAGCTGCCATGTGGGTGCTGGGAATTGAACCCAGGTCCTCTATAAGAGCAGCCGGTGCTCTAAACCGCTGAGCCATCTCTCCAGCTCCACTTTCATCGATTTTTAGACCAGTCTATAATACAGGAGACATTCTTTAAAAAAGAAAAAAAAAAAAATCAAACCAGACGGGTCTACATAGTGGAAGCCTAAATCCTAGCTAGCTGGAGCTACATAGTGAGACCCTGTCTCAGTAAACACACAACAGGGGTTGGAGAGATGGCTCTGTGGTTAAGTGTGCTTACTGCTTTTGCTGAGGACCAGGGCTGGATTTTCAGCACCTGCGTGACAGTTCACAACTCTATAATTCACGTTCCAGATCCAGTGTCCTCGTACTTGGTGCACATAAATCCACGCAAGCACCGAAACATAAAATTAAGTAAAATGGGGGCTGGAGAGATGGCTCAGAGGTTAGGAGCACTGGCTGTTCTTCCAGAGGACCGGGGTTCAATTCCCAGTACCCACATGGTGGCTCACAGCCATCTGTAATGGGATCTGGCTTCCTCTTCTGGCCTGCAGGGATACATGCAAACAGAACACTGTATACATAAAAAATAATCCTTAAAAAAATTAAGTAAAATGTTTTTTAAAACCCCAAAGCTAGAGTGGGACGTGTTACTTCTGGCTTAGGGGTGAAAAGGTGAGGCGGTTCATAGATACTCGGAATGGAAGACCCACGAGTGTAAAAGCCAAGGATTCCCGGAGGAACTGGAGCTAAAGAAAAATGGGCTACAAACGGCAGGCATTTTTGAGGAGCGAAGCTGTGTGCAGAATAGTTCAATGGCCTGGCAGCAGCAGGCCGGGTTAGGACCTTCTCTGACGACCTCGTCCCTCTGACAGACCCGGGCGCAGTGGTAGAAGCCCAGACATCGGTCCCCTACGCCATTGTGGGCGGCATCCTGGCGCTACTCGTGTTTCTGATCATATGTGTGCTAGTGGGCATGGTCTGGTGCTCCGTCCGACAGAAGGGTAAGTGGGGGGCACCTGAACTCATCGGAGGGTGTGGTCGGTATGATGCTGGAAAACAAGGGGGCGGAGCCTAGACCCTAGACTGGATTCGAAATCGCGCCATATTTTACACCAATACTCTGTAGGGGAAGGGCTTGGGGCCCTGGGCTCTGAAAGGGCTGAAATTTAGTAGAATTAAGGGGAGGGATTTTGAGTAATTTATTTTTCAAATAGTTGGATTTATTGACAGCATAGACGTAAGGGAATAATATCAGAAAAGAAACGGGAGGGGAAGGGGGAGGGGAGAAGGGTCCTGGGATAGGGCTCAGTCGATAGACTGTGTAGCAAAGCCGTGGACTCCGTCCTCCAACACTGCACAAAATGGATCGTGGTGGGGCATGCTTCTAACCCCAGTTTTGGGGAGGTGGTGGCAGAAGTATGCAAAGTTCAAGGCCACTTGAAGCTTATCTGGGAAACTGGAGACCCTGTCTCAAAACCGGAGGCGGGGCAGTTGGAGGGATAAGGGTGGGTTTTTTCTGTGAACTTTTGGAGTCTTCCTAATTCTGCTTTTACCTCTTTCTCTGCCTCTGTCGCGTGCTTCACTCAACTTGCCTCTGGTTCCCTTTCTCCTCCGTCCTTCATGTGATGTGTCTCTTGCCGGTCTCCTTCCCCTATATCCACTTCCTGGGTCCACATACACAACACAACCCTCCGCCCTGGGGGCATCTTTCTTCCCTCAGGCTCCTATCTGACCCATGAGGCCAGCGGCTTGGACGAGCAGGGAGAAGCCAGAGAAGCCTTCCTCAACGGCAGCGACGGACACAAGCGGAAAGAAGAATTCTTCATCTGACCCCACCCCCACCCACCGCCAGCTGCACGGAACCAGCAAAGACATTGACCAGAGTCCGGGATGGCGGGCTTCTCCCCCCACAGCTAACACCTCAGGCGCTTGGGCAGGGATTGGGGGTGTTGGACGCCTGGACCTCTCCCAGGGACAAAGGCTTAGGGTCCAGAGGCTTAGGGTCCCCTAGAGGAGACAGGGACCGAAGGTCCCTTCTAGACCCCAAGTCCAGGGAGGGGTAATAGGGATTTGGGTTGGGGGAAGAAAACAGGGGAAGGCCAGAACCCCTAGGCAACAGAACCAGGTCTTGTGGGGAGGGAGTCAGATTCTGGGAAGGGTGGGGTGGGCAGGGAAGGGGAACACAGATTTCTTAGGGGTCCCAGACCCCATGCCAGCCATTGTAAGAGTTCCACAGAGCTCTGGGCACCTCTTTGCAAAGCCATGTTCGCACGGTGGGGGGAGGGGCGGGGAGGGCGTGGAAACGGGAATTCTGTGTCTTTGTGTGAAAACTCTGATGGGGGCAGTGAGGGAAACGACCCCAGCTTTTATCCAGTCCCCCTTCCGGGTTCCTGGGCGGCTCCCCTCCCCTCCATCTCCACCCCCATGTCTTTCCCCTCCCATATTTGTCTGTCCACCCACTCCTGGGGGGGCCTTCTCCATCTCTCCTCCAGGCCCCCCGGGGAGGGGGAAAGGAGTTTGGAAGGGATGTGTGGTCTCTATGGTTTTATATATAATATATTAAAAAATCAAAAATCTGTATGAAAAATATCAGATTGCACCCCTCTCCCCTATTCCTGGCTTTTGCCCCTTTTTCTTGTTTAAAAAAACAAAACAAAACACATTTTTGTACGGGGCGGGGAGGGGGTAGGGAGGGGGTTTGGCAATCCCACTAACCACCATTAAACTGAGGAGAGAACAAGTGTTTGGGGTGGTTGTGTGTGTCTGTCCACTACTCTACACCAGGAGGGGGGGGAGATGCAGTGGTGGGGAGGGGAGTGACATGGATTCCGATACACAGGAAGGTAAAGGGGCCAGACCTCAGCAAGGCCACCTCTATCCACTCCAGTTCAGCAGGAATCTGAAATTTGATCCTGTTCTAGGCACTAAGGACTCAGGGTGAAAAGGGGACCCTATGCTGACCTTCATGAAACTTTGATGAAGGAAACAGACTCAGCAAGGTAGCAAAGAAAACAATTTTAATGGTGGTGGTGCACACCTTTAGGGAGGCAGAGGCAGGCGGATCTCTGTGAGTTTGAGGCCAGCCTGGGCTACAGTGAGTTCCAGGACAGCCAGGGCTACACAGAGAAACCCTGCTTTGAAAAACCAAACCAAACCAGAAGACAGTTTCCGAGCTAGGAACAGTGGCACACATCTGCAACCCTCAGGGAGTGGAGGCACAAGGGCCTAAGCAAATCCCAGGCAGCTTGGTCTACACAGCAAGCTCCTGGCCACTCCGAGCTGCTTAGCAAGACGACGTGTCCCCTCCCCCCAAACAAGAAAGCTTAATGCTTTCTTTAAAATTGGAAGCCAGGCAGTGAATCCCAGCACTCGCGAGGCAGAGCCAGGTGGAAAACTCTGTGAGTTTGAGGCCAGCCTGGTCTACAGAGCGAGTTCCAGGAAAGGCGCAAAGCTACACAGAGAAACCCTGTCTCGAAAAACCAAAATAAATAAATAAACAAATAAATAAATAAATAGAATTGTAAAGAAGGCCATTAAGATGCCAGCTGAGTGTCTTAGTCCTTTAGAGGCTGAGGTAGGAGACTGAGTTTAAGGCCAGCCTGGGCTACACATTAAGTTCCTGTCTAAAAAAAGAAGCTGGGGGGTGGGGGTGGCTCACAATTTTAATCCCAGCACTTGGGAGGCAGAGGCAGGTGGATCTCTGAGTTCGAGGCCAGCCTGGTCTACAGAGCAAGTCCCAGGACAGCCAAGGCTACATGGTGAAATTCTATCTCAAAAAACAAAACAAAACAAACGAACAAACAAAAATCACACATCTTTAATCCCAGCTCCTCAGAGACAAGAGGCAGGTAGATTCCAGTAGCCATCTTGGTCTACATAGCAAGCCTCAGGCGAGTGAGGGGGGTGGGGTGTGTAGGGGTGGGTGGGGGAAGGGGAAGTGGGGGGGTTGGGGGGCGGCTACTGTTTGGTACAAAGTGAAGGAGACAGAAAGGAGCACAAAGTCCCAGGCACTCTTCACCCACCTTCACCCACCATCAAAAGTGCATCATTTATTGAAACAGGTGCTGTGTCAGTTCCCTAATTAACTCGGTCTGCAGAGGCTGTATCACCCAGGAAGGTCCCTCAGATTGACATCAGTGCTGAGATGGAGGAAGCACAGAGTGTGTGTGTGTGTCGGGGGGGAGGGGGGGGAGGTAGCATTCTCAGATAAAGCGGACAGCAAGATCAAAGCCCCAGACAGTAAAAAGATGACTGTGTTTGAAGTGCTGGGGATCTGGACCTGATAAAAAGGTGGGTGGGTCCAGAAAAAACATCAGGGTCAGAGCTTTAACTGAGAGGCCAGGTGTGGTGACGCAACCCTGTCATCCCTGCATTTGGAAAGCTGAGGCAGGAGAACTGTGGGAAATGCCTGAAAAACCTGCCTGGAGCGAGCGAGAGTTCCCCGCCATCGTGGGCTACACTAGGAGACTCCGTCTCAAAAACAAAACAAAGCAAAACTTCGTATTCTACCGTTTAATGGGAGCGTTTCAGGTCGCTAGTGATAAAATCAGTTCTTCTGAGCACGGGGGGGGGGGGGTTGTGGTGACGGCTACGTATAGTCAACATAAAGTTACAGCTCTTTAAAATCATCTACTGGAGTTGGGCTTGCTGCCGTATGCCTGCACTCAAGAGGCAGTGTTCAAGGTCATTCTCTTTGACCCAGGGAGTTAGAGGCTAGCCTGAGCTACATTAGTCTGCCTAAAAAAAAAAAGAAAAGAGAAAGAAAGAAAGAAAGAAAGAAAGAAAGAAAGAAAGAAAGAAAGAAAGAAAGAAAGAAAGAAAGAAAGAAAGAAAGAAAGAAAGAAAAAGAAGCAAACACCATGGGAGACTTTCTGCTCTCCGATTGTGTTCCAGCAAACGAAGCTGCCTGTTCTTCCTCTGAGAATGCAGACACTCCTTTGCCTCTGGGCATTTGCATTAGCTAGTCCCTCTGCCAAGAGACTCCTAGTTGGCCCCTGTTCAGACTTGGCTTAAAAATCAAGCCCTGGAAGCCCTTGCAGAACCCTGGGCTGGAGCAGGCGTTTCTGGCACCCACAGCCTCCTATTCTCCACCTCTTCGAGGTCAGCAGCTCTAGGTATTAGTCTAAACAAATGTGGTTCGTCTTCCTTAAACTGATTGTGTGTGGGGTACCAGATCTCTCGAAACGCAGAAACCACGTGCTGGCCTAATTCCCAGGAGAGCAATAAAGACTTATCCTGGGTGGCAGGGGCACGAACCGGGTCCTAGACCTTCTGTAGTTTCAGGAAAAGGGGGCCAGCCCACTTCTCTCAAGTCGGCAGCCCCTAAACGCATGCGCTTTGCCCAGGTGCCCCCCTCCCCTTCCATCCATATGCTAATCACTGCGCTGGGAAGGACGGCCTCTCCCGGGAATATGCAAATCACATCCTCCAGTGCGGGAGGCCTTCCTTTGTCCCGCGCTAGGATTATGCAAATGAGAGCCTCCAACCCGAGTTGGAGCCGGGATCCAAGCCGAGTACTTAGGCCCCCACCCCACCCTCCCCGCCCCCCACCCCAAGGCATCCCCTATTTATAAGGCGCGTTCGCTGCAGCGCGCACGCACGCACGCTCGGCTGCTGAAGCTCCCCGGTGGTCGAGCCGCGGACTGTACCAAGTCCAGCGGGGCCCCCTGGGCGGCAGAGACCCACACCCTCGCCGGTGGCGAGCTCCGCAGCCTGCGCGATCGATTCCCTGAGCCCCGCTTCCCACCGACGGCCAGGAATGGTCCGTCTGGCGGCGCACGCGCCCTGAGCTCCGCTCGCCCGCCTGCTCGCCCGCTCGCTCGCCGGGGCTCCCTGGACGCAGGCGCAGTGCCCGGGCTTGGGGCCGCCGCCACCGCCGAGCCCGAGCCGGGGCCGCCGGCGTCGGTGAGTGTCGGTGCTTGGGGTGCGCGGGGCATGCTGGGACTGTACGGCCCCGCTGCATGCCGGGAGCCCGCGGCCGCCTGCCAGGGTGACCGGCCCGGGAGCCCGGTGCTGCTCCCGTGCTGCTAGCAGCACGCGGCTCGGAACCTACCGCAGCTTCGCCTCGCCTGGGGTCTGGGGCTGCTGGAGAGGGTCCCTTTTTTCTTTTTTCTTTTGTCGCACACGCTTTCCGCGAGACGAGGAGCGTTTCGGTGCTTGGCGTTGTAGAAGGTGGTCGTTAAAGGCCCGAGGCATCGTGGCAGGTTGTCACCCGGCATTGTTTGGTATTCGGGTTTGTCCGAGCCCTTGCCCTAACGTAGCGTTGTGCGGCAAGGTACCTAATTGTGTCCACTCACACCGTGTTGGTTCAGCGTGGTGTGGGGGTCCGGGCCACGGTATCGGCCTTTGTGGGAGGCGGGAGAGACGGTGTCAGGTAGCCCTGACTGGCCTTGAACCCACAGTGTTGTGCAGGATGACCTACAGTGTGTAATCTGCCAAGTGCTGAGTTTGCAGGGATGCACCACCACGCCCATCTGATTTTCACCTGTAGTCCGGAGGATGTTTTCTTTTTTGTACCCGTACCGTCTTGGAAGTCAGACTGGCTGCGTACAGGATTTCCGTCCTGAGGGATGGTTCCACCTGATGTCCAGAACATTCTGGAAAGAAGCTTTGTGTAATGTGGGTTTGGAAAGGGATGGTTGTCCCCAGGTAACCCCAGGGAAAGTCCTGGCGATCTCTGGTGTGGTAGCCAGTAGAGTAACAGTTAAAGCCCGGTGTGTGTCACATGCCTATAACTTCAGCAACCCCAGGCCGGGGCTGGAGGGTCAGGAATTCTAGGTCAGTTCTGGCTACATAGTGAGAACCGATCTCAAAACAGAATGCGTTTGCATAGTCCTGGGTACTGCATGAACATGTGTATTAAATTATATTATTATTATTATTTGGTTTCTTCGAGACAGGGTTTCTCTGTGTAGTTTTGGTGCCTATCCTGGATCTCGCTCGGTAGACCAGGCCGGCCTCGAACTCACAGAGATCCTCCTGCCTCTGCCTCCCGAGTGCTGGGATTAAAGGCGTGCACCTCCACCGCCTGGCTATATTAAATATTTAATATTAATATTAAAAATTGGAACCAGTTGTTTTCAGTTTTTCCAGGCATAATGTAGAATTCCGGAATTAGAGGGGCCCTGCATGTGATGGGTAATCATGAGAGCTCTTCCTTGCCATTTACTGATTCTCTGTCCTTAAAAGGCCTGGTCCAGGTGTCTTTTAAGTCCCCATCCATTGATGCCACCCTACTCTTCCTGCTTCAGCTTCATTCCCCTGGCAGTGACTTTGACATCTGCTTTGAAGAGATAGTGGGCTTTCTACCATTGGGTCCCAGTGCCTAACATACAGGCTTGTCATATTTCAGTGAGGCTGAGCCAGATGGAGTGGTTGCATGCCTATAATCCCTGCACCTGGAGGTTGACGTTGGTAGGATTGCAGCCTGGACCGTATAGCAAGAGTCTATGGAGAATGTAAGGGTATGGTGGTTTTTAGTCCCACCTTGGCCCTCTCACAGTGCAGGAGGAGGAAATGTGTGCTTTGGGAGAGACAGGGATTATTAGGGCTGAGGAGATGTACAGAAGATGTTTATATGTGGGCTTTGCAAGGTGAAAATTAGTTCTCCAAGGCCCACAAAGAGGAAGCAGAAAATTGCCGATGGCCACCGCAGGATGTAACCAGGACCCCTCCACCTCCAGCTATAAAGGGCCTGTATGCACCCTCCAGAAGTTTGGAGTGGCTGGAGGGATGGGCAGGGCAGTAGTCTGCCACACACCTACAAGTTCTATGAGTCTGCTTTTTAGAGATGGGTCTCATGTAAGCCCAGACTCTGTGTAGTCACCAATGACCTTAAACTTGAGATTTCTGCCAGCCTAAGGGCTGGATTGCAGGTGTGGGCTGCCATGTGTCTGAGCTTACTGATATTCAAAGCATGGCTTTGAATCCTTGTTCAGCCACCAGTCTGCGGAGGTGACCTGTGATCTTGGGCTTTGGGCCACCTGCAGGCCCTTTCTGTAAGTAAGTCCCTTACTTACTCCCTCTTCTGCCTCTAGGGAGCTGTTTCTGTGTGGTTATGAGTGTACCAGTCAAGGCCTGGAAGCAGGCTTTCCAGAGAAGGAAACAAGACGAGAGAAGTTGGGTCCCTTGTGAAGCTGTAGCCAGAAAAGGTTCAGACCTAGGCGAGGCTGACTTCCACAAATTAATGTAAGTTAATACTTGATACACCAGACATGGTGGTGCACCTGTAATCCTGGCACTTGGCAGGAAGATCCATCTGAGGCTACTTAGTGAACTTGAGGCCAATTTCAGGATACATGAGGCCCCATTTCAAGCAAGGAAAAACTGAAGGGTAGCAATGTGACTCACTTGGTAATGTTCTTGTCAAGCGTATATGAAGCCCTAGGTTTGATCTCCAGCATTTGGGAGGTAGATCCAGGAGCATCAGAAATTCAAGGTCAGCCTAGGATATTTGAGATCGTGTCTCATGAAAACAAAACACTTCTGGGATAGTGTCAAAGCTGTACCAAGTTTTCTGTGTCCCTAATAGTTAACAAGGTGTCCTCCTTCAGTCCCAGACCTCTCCACCATCCAACAGCTAGAGTTAATGCCTGGCACAGGTGTTTTCCTTCTACACTTAGTTATGACTGGTGCCCATGCCAGTGCCTACCTTTAAATGACTAGGGGTATCATCTCCCCCTACCCTACTGAATAAGAACCACAAAGTCTGGTTGACAAGATGCAGAAGTCGAGGCCTCCAGGAGGCAGAGTCTGGGGGTCATCGTTACCTCACTGAGCACACAGGGGTCTTGGAATGGGGACAAGTGTTATGTAAAAATTTATTGAGTCACCACAGGCCTTTCCTTTCCCCATGTCCAGCATCCCTCTCTACCTGCCAACATCCCGTGTTAGAAGAGTTTGTGGCTGGAGGTGTGACCGTGGGAGAGCTGGCCGGGGAGGGACCCTGCCCAGTCGCTGCTCTGCTCCTGTCTCTTGTCCCCTCCCCTGGCCATGACAGAGACCCGTGAGCCCACTGAGACTGGAGGCTACGCCAGCTTGGAGGAGGATGATGAAGACCTTTCCCCAGGTGAGGTGGCCTTAGAAGTCCTGGGGTTGACAAGGCTGTCATCCTGGACTCGGATTCCCTTGGGGAGTCGTGATGAGGAGCGGCCCCTTCCCTTGCTGTGGGCTCTCTTCTGACTAGAACTCCTGGTCCTGGTGGGAGACGGCTTCCCTAGGCGGCTCTCAGGGGCTGCAGCTCGGGTGTGTTCTTGGTCCTTGTTGTGGGCTCTCGAGTGGCTTTGGGAGCTCTGCTCCACGGTGGTTCTCGATGGGCCGCGGCGGCTCTCCTTGCTCCGTGCTCTCTTCTTGATGGAGGCTGGAGACTGGCTTTGGGCTGTGTCTGTGCTGGGGTTTCTGGACTGGCTGCGCCCGCTCCCGGTGCTCGGCTTCCTAGACCGCCTGTGCCCCTTCTTCCTGGCGGGTCTTGGTCGGCTCTGATCTTTCTCTCTGGTGCTTCTGGACCGGCTGCGGCTTTGTTCCTCACTGGAAGTCCCAGGCCACGCTTGGCTTCTCTGTCTTCCTGGAGCTCTCCATGGGTTGTGACTTTCCTCCTGGCTGTGGGCTCTGGACTGGCTGCGTCTCATATGTGTGGGTGTGACCCTCCGGGTGCGACTTCTTGCCCTACCTCGATTTCTCTTCCAGCTGTAACTTCTCACCCGGCTCTGGGTCCTCTTGTGACTGCGACTTCTTGACCTCCTGGGGGTCCTAGAGCGACTGTGGCTTCGGGTCCTGCTGGGGGTCCTAGAACGGCTGAAGCTTTGGGTCCTGCTGGGGCTGCTGTCTTGCTTGTAACTCTTGGCCTTTCCTGACGTGGCATTGAGACCAGTCAGGGTGTGAGTCTGTTCCCTGCTGGGGGACATCACCTGGCTATAGCTCCTGGCTCTCCTGGATGCCACAGGAGATTTGCTGGAGCTCTTTAAGGCTGTCCTACTTAGGCTGTGGCTCTTGGCCCTACTGGGGATTATGGGGGGTCTGGAGCTGCTCCTCGGGTCTGAGGTTCCTGGTAGCTTGGGGCTTTTTTCCCGGCCCATGTTTCTAGACTGGCTAGCGTTCCTTTCCTGGGTACTGATTCTGGGTTGGCTGTAACTCTTGCCTTGGCTTTGTTTGCGGTGGGAAGTAGGGGTCCTTGCCTTCTTGGCCACACCTGGCTTGGCAGAGTGGGTTCTCTTCCTGCTAGGAGTACTTGATCTGCTCGGGGACGTCTTGGAGCTGTGGCTTCCCCTCCTGCCTGGGGTTCGCCCTCGGCTGTGTGGGCCTTTCTGCTGAGGTCGTCCTACAATGCCAGTCTTGCCGTCCTTCCTGCCCTTGCTGGCCTTCCTGGCCTTGGTGTCAGTGCTCACCTGGCTGGACGTCCTCATCTTGCTGTGGCCTTGGGACCTGCTGCTGGGCCGGGATGAAGGAGCTGTCTTGGTACCTGTTGATCTGGGAGACTTAGGACTGTTGGGGCTCATGACCAAGTTAGGGGACTTAGGATGCACGGAGGGACTGTTGGACACCGCCGCCGCTTTGGTGGTCTTCAGGGAGGCTGGAGCTGCAGGAGCTGTGGTGGGCATGGAGGGCCCAGTGGGTGCCGGAGCCATGCCGGGCTTGGAGGATCTCTTGGATGGAGAATGCATGGCGGGTGCGAAGGGGCTTGAGCTGGAAGTCATGGTAAACATGCAAGGTTTGGTAGCCAAGGACAACAACCGGGGGGCTCATCACAAGCAACTTCGTGAGGTCATAGTGGGCACTGAGGACCCTGGAGGTTGAGGCCAGAGGTGAGAGAAGGTGGGGCCCTGGCACAAGGCTGGAGCCTCTTAGTAAATGGAGTCCTATCCGCTCAGACTCAACAGGGCTGAAAATTGTAGCTGGGTTCCCAAGGGCCTGCCTTGAGTCTTCAGGCCTTGGAGATGTTATTGCCGGGTTGGGGGTGGCAAGAAGGCTTTATAGAGGAGGTGACATGGAGCTAGGCCTCACAGAGGAGCTGGAGTTGCTAGAAGGGTCTTCACAGGGAAGAGCAGAGGGAAGAGCCTGGAGGAGGGAGCTCAGAGCCTGGGCTCACCATTAGTTATGACCCACTTGTCCTCTCCTAGACTGAGGTGGGAACCCCAAGAGTTCCCAGGCTGATGAGGGACATCAAGCCTAGAATGCCACAGCCCCTAGAAAGTGATGGGGGCAGCAATAACCAGGACCATCAGGATAGTGGCTATGATAGAGGGTTGCCTGTGCTGGGTCCTGAAGCCTGAATAGGAAGGGCCAAGTGGACATAGTGAGGAATGATGTGCAGAGAGACGCCTAGGCTCAGGGAATATCTGTAGACTGAAGTTTCTCGGTCCTGCCTGGGCATCAACTGTTTTTTTTATAAAAATCACCACTCAGAGGCTTAATATTAATGACAAACTGTTTGGTCTGTGGCTCAGGCTTACTGCTAGCTAGCTCTGACATCTTAAATTAAGCCATTTCTATTCATCCTTGTATCGCCACATGTCTTATGGCTTTACCTGTGTTCTTCTGCATCTTGCTTCCCTGGCAGCTCACAGCGCCTCCCTGACTCTGCCTTTCTTCTCCCTGTATCTCTCTTGGATTTCCCGCCTGGCTGTATCCTGGGTTGCCATAGGCCAAATCAGCTTATTAACCAATAGCAACACATATTCACAGCATACAGGAAGACCATCCCACAGCAGATATCTGCTGTGGATATCACTCTATATAAATAAAACACTGATGGCCAGTGACCAGACAGAAGCCCTCCAGCAACAGATATCTGTTGAAGGTAGGGGGCAGCAGAATGGGGCAGGGACATTGAAGCAGTCCTGAGACTGGGAGGGTGCACAGAGGACACAGTCCTGCGGCTCAGAGGGGACGGTGAGAGGCCAGTAGAAAAGATGACTGGCTACCTAGGAAGAGGAGGTCTAGGGTGGCTCACCAAGGGGAGAGCAGGACAGAGCATCCATAGCAGAGGGGACAACATACAGAAGGTCAGTGTCCATTCCACAGATACTCAGCATGCAGAGTGTCCTAGCCATCAGGGCCACCACACAGCCACTACTTCTCTTGGGGACAAGAAGAAACATCAGTACAATTGGTGTGCAGCTGATTGGACTGCACAAGAAAATTAAGGCAGGGTGAGGGGTATAGGCAGTGCTGGGCAGGGCTGCTATGAAATAGGGTGACCAGTGTGCTCCAAGACAGAGGGTTGGAGCTTGATCTGCAGAAAGGGAAGCAAAGGCCCTTGGGTAGGAGCACACCTGTGGTACTGAGACAGCAAGGAGCCCATGGTGACTGGTGAGGACAGATGATGAAGTCGGAGGGGCCCCCTGAGCATCTGTTGCCACCATGGTGATGTGAGTGAGGGTAGAAACACCATCCCCGGGAGCTGCAGGAGGAAGCAGGGGCAGAGGGAGGTTGAGGTTGTTGCCACAGTCCAGTGGGGTACTTCCAGCAGGCCCTCCCCAGTGGGGCTGCAGCAGGCATCTTGAGGACTGCCAGCCCTTGGCCGTGGAGACCCCGGCATACGTATGGCCCCAGACCAGCTGCTCGTGTATTTAGCATCACTTCGGTTTTTCTCATTTCAGAGCTTTCGCTACATTTTATTAATTGATTTAATGAGGGTGGATATACCTTCTTGGTACCAGGAATGGAGGTCCCAGGACAGCTATTAGGAGTTAGTTTTCTTCCTCTACTTGTCCTGGGAATCAAATCAGGGTGTCAGGCTTAGCGTTTTTAAACCCAAACTTGTGTATATGTATTTTATGCCCTGAGATTATAGTAATGTGTCTCTACTTAATTGACTTGTATATCTGAGGCAAGGTGATGAGTTCAAGGCCATCTTGAAACATGTATGTACATACATACATATGTACATATGCACATACATGTGTTCTGTCTTCTAAAAACAACAAAAAAGAAAAGCCAGGTATGGCCTGTAATCCCAGTTTTTGGGAAGTGGGGGCAGGAAGATCGGGAGTTCAAGGCCAACCCTAGGCTATATGAGAACCTGTCTCAAAACCAAATGGGCTGGGAATAGATTAGTAGGTACAAAGCTTGCCGTGGAAGCATGAATGCAGGAGTTTGGGTCACCAGCGTCCAGGTCAAAACCCAGCACTGTCTCCGCACCTGGGATACCACCGTGGAAGGCACAGACAGGAGGGTCTTGGGGTTGGCCCGTCAGATGAGTCAGCGTGGTGAGCTCTGAGGTCAGTGAGAGACCATCTGAAAACACAAGATGGCAAGTGACTAAGGAGAGCACCACTGCTGACTTCTGGCCTCTCCACGACACAGGTGTACTTAGTTCTTGTTATTGTTGTTTCAGTCTTTAGGGGTCCACCACCCAGCTCCCAAATAAGTACACAGAGACTTGTTCTTTTTGGTTTTTCAAGACAGGGTTTCTCTGTGTAGTTTTGGCACCTGTCCTGGATCTCACTCTATAGACCAGGCTGGCCTCGAACTCACAGAGATCCACCTGCCTCTGCCTCCCGAGTGCTGGGATTAAAGGTGTGCGCCACCACCACCTGCCCTAACCCGTTTTTCTTTAACTACATTTTGCCCCTGGGCTTTTTTCCTTCCTTTGTTCTATGTCTTTCTTTCCTTACTCTATGGCTGGCCCTTGGTGTCCTCCCTCTTCTCTTTTTTCTCCTTCTGTTTATTCTCTCTGCCTGCCAGCCCTGCCTGTCCCTCTCGGGCCTTGCTATTGGCCGTCCAGCTCTTCATTAGACCATCAGGTGTTCTAGACAGGCAGAGTGACACAGCTTCACCGTGTTAAACACATGCAACACAAAAGAACGCAACACATCTTTGCATCATTAAACAAATGTTCCGCAGCACACAAGTCTCTGTGTGTACATGCACGCGTGCACATATACAAATGGGGAAAAACATTTTCTTATTTTCATTTACTGCATTTTAATTTACTACTTAGCCACATATTGTGATGCTCGTCTTCCTGGAATGGTCCAGTGCAGGCCATTTTCATATTTAGCTCTCTGTGGTAGACTGTGTGACGACTGTAGGTGAGTGAGTCATATGCCTGCTCTATGCCTCAGTTTCCACATTGGCTCAGGTGTTGCTGTAAGAGCTGGGTGAGTACACACATACTGTTTTTGCTGTCTACCCCACCGCTGATGCCCATCTGTCTATTCTTCATTTTGAGACAGTATCTCATTCTCTCTAAGCCAGCTGTCCTGGAGCTTGCAGTGATTCTCCTGCCTCAGCCTCCTTGAGTACCAGCCTTACAGATGACAGATACAGTTCTTGCCAGACACTCATTTGCTAGACACATAGATAGATACATTGCATCTGTGTTGTGTGCCAAGCTGTCCTGCCCCTACAGTGAGCTTGAATGGGGCTCAAGGGGGCAGCTGGACACACACAGCCCTGATGCCGTGTCTCTCCTACCTGCCCCAACAGGCCCGGAGCATTCTTCTGACTCTGAATACACTCTTTCAGAGCCCGACTCTGAGGAGGAGGAAGAGGAAGAGGAGGAAGAGGAGACCACTGACGACCCCGAATATGACCCTGGCTATAAGGTGAAGCAGCGCATAGGTGGGGGCAGGGGGGGCCCGTCCCGCCGGGCCCCCCGAGCAGCCCAGCCTGCTGGTCCACCTGCACAGCCCTGCCAGCTCTGTGGCCGGTCACCACTGGCAGAGGCCCCGCCGGGTGCCCCGCCCTGCCGACTCTGCTGCCCGACCACAGCAACCCAGGAAGCCCCAGCCCCTGAAGGCAGGGCTCTTGGTGAGGAAGAGGAGGAGCCGTCTCGTACTGGGGAGAGCCGGCCAGCAGGGCGGGATGGAGATGAAGACGAGGAGGAGGGGGGTACCTACCACTGTACGGAGTGTGAGGACTCCTTTGACAACCTCGGGGAGCTGCATGGTCACTTCATGCTGCATGCCCGGGGTGAGGTTTAGCCAGGGCCCCCAGGGAGCTGGTGAGGGGGGTGGGAGCAGGGGCTGAGGAAGCTGGAGTGGGGCTGGGTTCTCACCCATCTGTGTTGTCTTAGCAGTCATGTGTGAAGGGCAGAATAAAAGCTGGATTCCGTGTGTGCTGAGCTGCATGTGTGGGGCTGAACATAGTGAGCGGTCTACACCAGCATCTCTGTTTTGGAAACACCTCCTGAGTGCTGGGATTGCTGGCATGCACCACCGTCACTGATTTTATGTGGTGCTGGAGATTGAACCCGGGGCTTTGAGTTAGGCAAGGTACATCCCCGGCCATTTTTGTTTGGCTCCATTTTTCTCTTGAGACAAGGTTCTGCTGGCTTTGAACTTGTGCTTCTGTTGTCGTAGACTGAGTGCCAGATTCACAGGCACAAAGCCACCAACCATACTTAGCTAAGAGTCCTGGGGTTCAGGCCACCCCTGGATCCATGCTGGGTGTCCTGCCTGGCTTATTGGTAGAGGACAGGGAGTCAGCAAGAGGTGCCTAGGCTAATTTCCCTGCTGGAAAGTCATCTGCAGAGCTGTAGCCAGCTGCAGAGAAGCCTGGGAAAGGCTAGCTAGCTTGCAGGGGCCATGAAGGCTATGAGTAGCCTGTCATCATCACACCCCTGATTCCCTCCTTCCAAGAGGACTACGAGTACGTGACAGCGAGCTCCCAGGGCTTCCTTGATGTGCAGTGCCAGCCAATGGCCTTGTCTGTCTGCAGTCAGAGATTCCAGGAATCTCTTTAACAGTAGTTTTGAGTACCTCCCATGTGCTAAGTGTTGCAAATGCACCATTAAATAAGATTTGCGTGTGTATAGTGCCCTAGGAGACCAGAAGAGGGTGTCATTCCCTGGAGTACAGGCTGTTGTGAGCCAGCCACTGGACTTGGCTGCTAGAAACTGAGCTTTGGGTCCGCTACAAGAGAAGCAAGCACTCTTAACCAGTGAGCCCTGGCTCCAGCTCTGCACATTAAATGACACCCTCATCCTCTCAGAGCTGACGTGGGCCCTGTGGGGCTGACACTGAAGATACGGTGAAAAAGACGCCACAGTGTTAGGTGGGGTGAGCGCTGTGAAGGAAAACAAGAGAAGGGCAAACTGTCTGGAAAGGGTCGTAGTGACTGCTGGGAAGAGACACCATGACCAAGGCAACTCAAAAGGAAGCATTTGATTAGACGCTGGCTCAGAGTGTCAGAGGTTCAGTCCGTTACTGGGCAGGCACGGTGCAGGAGAAGTAGTTGAAGCTACTGATGCTGAGGCAGAAGGCAGAGACCGACACTGGGCTCTGAACCCTCAAGCCCACCCCCAGTGACACGCTTCCTCCAAGAAGGCCACACCTCCTAATCCTTTCAAATAGCGCCACTCCCTGGTAACTAAGCGTTCAAAACTCATGGGGCCACCTATTTAAAACACCACGTAATTTTAAATCTCATAATTCTACCAGGGAAGGAGGCAGTTGTGCATGAGAATGAACTCTTTTCTAGGCTGGACAAGGCAGGAGCCCACCTGGGATAATAAGGAAGGCCAGAATGACTGACTGCTGGGGGTTAAGACCAGGTCCCCGAGGTGGAGTGTCCTGATGCTGTGCATGGTGATTTAGGAATCCCAGCACTCTGGAAGGTGTGGCAAGTTGTTGAGAGAGTTCAAGGCCAGCCCAGGCTTAGAGAGTGCTGTCCCTGTCTGAAAAAACAGTGTGTACACACACACATACACACACACACACACACACACACACACACACACACACACACACACACACACACACACCAAGAAAGACAAGGAATGAGACCAGGCCCCTGCTTTGAGATAGGAAATAGGGCTGGAGAGGTGGCTCAGAGGTTAAGAGCGTTGGCTGCTCTTCCAGAGGACCCAGGTTCAATTCCCAGCAACCGCATGATCGCTCACAACCATCTGGTGCCCTCTTCTGGTGTGCAGACATACATGCAGGTGGAACACTGTACATAATAAATAAAAAATTGCTTAAAAAAAAGGCCTCTGAAGCAGCCCGCGCTGGCCCAGGAGCTGGGAGTACAGTGGTAGACTGGGTGGGCAGAAGCGGAGGGTGACTTTTTGTTGTTTTGAGACAAGGTTCTGTGTGTCTCAAACGGCCTCAAACAGCGCCGCCGTAGCGTTTTCCTGCCTTGTCTCTTAGTCCGTGAGGTTCTGGGGATGACCCAAGGCCTCACGTGTGCTGCACAGGCACTGCCAACAGCTGTGCCCCAACCCCTGGGGGTTGTCAGGACGGGGTGACTGCAAGCACCTGCTTAGATAAGCCATGCAAAGTGTGGAACCAGGCATAGTGACACATTCCTGTAATCCCAGCATTCTGGAAGCCGAGGTGGGAGTTCAAGGCCAGCCTGGGCCACAGAGTCAGACTGTTGGAAGGTGAGTGTTCCAGGGACAAGTGCACAACCGGTCAGTGAGAATGAGCGGTCAGTGCGAATGAGCGGTCAGTGGGAATGAGCGGTCAGTGGGAATGAGCCGTCGGTGAGAATGAGCGGTCGGTGAGAATGAGCGGTCAGTGAGAATGAGCGGCCGGCCGGAAGCTCAGGCTCCAGGCTGGGCTGAGGGAGGCTGAGGGAGGGGCCTTCTTGGGATGCTTGAGAGGGAAATGGAGCAGGCAGGAGGAGGCCTGGTGACATGGGGGGATGAAAGGAGCAGAGGGCCAGGCAGCTTCAGTACCAGGAAATGAACCCAGGGCCACTGTGCATGATGGGCAAGTGTTCCACCACTGAGCTACACCCCTAGTCCCCACAAGGCTGATTTCTACAGACACGCGTTTGTTTTATTTTTGTTGCTTTGAGACAGGGTCTCATGGCCCGTGCCAGCCTGGAACGCACTATGTTGCCACCTCGAGTTTCTGATCTCACATCTGGAGTACTGAGGTCATAGGTGTGAGGTCCTCCCCCACTGTGTCGCCCCCCCCCCCCAGTCCAGTATGCAGTGCTGGGAACCGCACCCAGGACTTAGCTCATGCTAGACAACCTCTCCTGACTGAGCTATGTCTCCAGCCCCTTCGGGGACATTTTACAACCGCCACAACAGGTATAGAGGTTGAGCGGGGGAAGCCCACTGCCAGGAAGAAGAGGAGCTTGTATTCTGACCACTGAGTCAGAAGTGGTGCCCCACAGGGCGGGTCTGGTCTGCAAGCACTGCCGGCCCTCTCCACACCAGCCCTGTGAAAGGTGAGTAATACCACAGACAGCTTTCTGGCTTCTCTTGAAAATGGAGATCTCAGGCTAGAGAGATGGCTCAGAGGTTAAGAGCACTGGCTGCTCTCCCAGAGGACCTGGGTTCAATTCCCAGCAACCACATGGTGGTTCACAACTATCTATAGTAAGACCTGGTGCCCTCTTCTGGAGTGCAGGGACATATGCAGGCATAACTGTATACATAATAAATAAATTTAAAAGAAAAAAAAGAAAATGGAGATCTCTAGTGCACTCCTTTAATCCCAGCACTTGGGAGGCAAAGGCAGGTGGATCTCTGTGAGTTGGAGGCCAACCTGGTCTACAGAGCAAGTTACAGAACAGCCAGGGCTACACAAAGAAGTAGCCTTTTTTTTTTTTTTTTTTTTTTTTTTTTGAGACAAAGGAGGAAGAAAGAAAGAAGAAATGGAGATCTGGACTGCCAAGCCCAGTCTCATGGTCAGTAGTTTGCCAGAGGTCACCTCCCATAGATGAGGCCTTCTGTTCCCCCTTGTCGCCTGGACGCTTCAGCCTCAGCAAAGGAGCTTTGCATTTTAAAATATTAGGCTGCAGAGATGGAGTCTGCCCTCGTGAATGGGATTCTGTCTGTGAGAATGGTTGACGATTGCCTATCAACTCCGGTTCAAGGGGTCTGATGCCCTCTTCTGGCCTCACTAGTCCACACACACATGATGTACATGATTGACAATCTTTGAAAAAAGTGTGTGTCTGGACAACTTGAAGGAGTCGGTTTTCTCTCCCACTGTATTCCAGGAGTCAGACTCAGATCAGGTTTGTCAAGCACTTTACCTGCTGAGCTGTGGCGTTTTTGATAGCCTGTTGAAGGTTCACAGACCAAAGTGTGTTTGTTTGTTTGTTTAAGGATTTATTTATTATGTATACAGTGTTCTGCCTGCATGTATACCTGCAGGCCAGAAGAGGGCACCTGATCTCACTATAGATGGTTGTGAGCCACCATGTGGTTGCTGGGAATTGAACTCAGGACCTCTGGAAGAGCAATCAGTGCTCTTAACCTCTGAACCATCTCTCCAGCCCCAATTTATTTACTTTTTAAATTTTATGTGCGTCGGTGTCTTGTGTGCATGTATATCTGTGTCAGATTCCCTGGAACTGGAGTTACAGTTGAGAGCTGCCATTGGGTTCTGGGAGTCGAACTTGATTCCTCTGGAAGAGCAGCCAGTGCTCTTAACTGGGAAGCCATCTCTCCAGCCCCAAAGTGTCTTAAAACCCACTCTCCCAGAACCGATAATAGCTGAGTATCCAAAAACTGGCAACAAATTCACGCGCACAGAATAGGGTATCTTGGTCCATTTATGCTGACATAACAAAATGCTTGAGGCTGGGTAAGTAATAAAGAATGTAAATTTATTTATTTATTTATTTATTTATTTATTATTTATTTAGGTTTTTTGAGACAGGGTTTCTCTGTGAAACAGCCCTGGAACTCACTCCATAGACCAGGCTGGCCGTGAACACACAGAGATCCGCCTGCCTCTGCCTCCCGAGTGCTGGGGTTAAAGGTGTGCACCACCACCGCCTGCCTTGTAAGAATTTAAAGTTATTACAGTTCTGGAGACCAGGAAGTTCAAGACCAAGGGTCTGACCAGCTTCAGTGCTCCCTTGTTAGCTGTGAAGCCCCTCAAGGGGAAAAAGCTGAATGGAGAAAGCCCAAGGTCACCTGGCTCCATGGGTCGGGAGCAGAGGCCGTACTTCTGCTATTGGTTCTGCACATTGCTGTATCCAGGCCCAGGGCCCGCATGGTGTTGCTGCTCTTGTTCAGGGTGGGTCTTTCCCCTTAATCTTTTCTGGAACAGACACACCTATGTTATACTCTACAGATTGAGGCTCTCCTCAATGCAGTCCGGTTGAGATTAGCCATCACCCTTCCTAATGGGTGACCCCCAACCATAACATGCTCACTGTTGCTTCTTAACTCTTGTTCTGCTGCTGTCATGAATCATAACGTAAACATCAGTGTTTTCTGAGGTCTTAGGTGACCCGTGAAAGGGTCGTTCGAACAAACACACGTACACACACACACACACACACACACACACACACACACACACACACCACAGGTTGAGAACCACGTCTCTAAAGGATCCACCACTCGGTATTGTCACACTGAGTCTTAGGATCCTGGCAAAGGAACACTGGGGCATATACCTGTGACCACAGTGCATAGATAACTGAGAAAGAGGCAGCGTGTCCCAGGAGTGATCCATACCTTCATGCCCCTCCTGTCGGGAGACTGCATTCCAGGCAGCGGAAAGCACTGTGGCTGCCTTTTTGGTCAGTGGCTGGTCAGGACCTGGGAACTAAGGTGGGCATTCTGAAGGACCAGGCCCACTGGATGCAGGTAGCAGTGCTCAGAGTTCAAACTTGGGGAAAGGAGTGGGTCCTGGTGAAACAGGCCTGTCTGTGATGCCAGCTACTCCAGAGGCGGAGCAGGAGGACCCCAAGTTTAAGGGCAGCCTGTGCAACTTAGGGCTGGGGAGATGGCTCAGTGGTTAAGAGTACTTTTGCAAAGTCCTAGGTTTGGTTTCCAGAACCCACATCATAGCTCACAACTCCCTGTAAGCCTGCTCCCCCGGAATCTGATGCTCTCTGCTGGCCTCCGCAGGGGCCAGGCATGCATGTGGTACACATGAAAGCAAAACTTCCCAGGTGTAGGGATGGCTCAGTAGTTAAGAGCCCTGGCTGCTCCTGCAGGGGTCCTGAGTTCAATTCCCAGTACCCACATAGTGGCTTACAACTATCTGTAATGTATTGGTGAAATTATTAAGGCCACTCCACGTAGTTAAAAGGGAGATTTATTTAATGGCGTAACTTACCAATGAAGGATAAGTAGGTTGCGTGTTCTGGGAAAGATGCAGCACAGTCCAGCAGTGTTCTCTGGAGAACCCTCCTCGGTCTACCTCTAGCGTCCAGGGTCCAGGAAACAAGAGAACGTGGCGCAACTGGATCTTGGGTCTTCAGGGCCCTCTCTTGACCTTGCCTTGTAGGCATGATAGTTACCAAAGCCTCAGTGGGGGTTGGAACTTCCAGACCAAAGCTGGAATGGCTACCCACTACAGTAATGTGATTTAATACCCTCTTCTGGTGTGCAGAAATGCATGAAAAAATTAGAAAGTAAAAAAACAAAACAAAACAGGCTGGTGAGTGCTTCCCTGCATCCTCAAGTGGTAGAGCCCCTGCCTAGAATCCCCCAGTGAGGGGCTGGGGTATGGCTCAGTGGTAGAGCCCCTGCCTAGAATCCCCCAGTGAAGGGCTGGGGTATGGCTCAGTGGTAGAGCCCCTGCCTAGAATCCCCAGTGAGGGGCTGGGGGTGTGGCTCAGTGGTAGAGCCCCTGCCTAGAATCCCCCAGTGAGGGGCTGGGGGTGTGGCTCAGTGGTAGAGCCCCTGCCTAGAATCCCCCAGTGAGGGGCTGGGGGTGTGGCTCAGTGGTAGAACCCCTGCCTAGAATCCCCCAGTGAGGGGCTAGGGTGTGTCTCAGTGGTAGAGCCCCAGCCTAGAATCCCCCAGTGAGGGGCTGGGAGTGTGGCTCAGTGGTAGAGCACCTGCCTGGAACCCCCCAGTGGGGTGTGGCTCAGTGGTAGAGCCCCTGCCTAGAATCCCCCAGTGAGGGGCTGGGGTGTGGCTCAGTGGTAGAGCCCCTGCCTAGAATCCCCCAGTGAGGGGCTGGGGGCGTGAGTCAGTGCTAAGTGCTTGGCCTAACACACCTAGGATTCTGGCCCCTTTCTCAGAATGGCCAAAGCGAAGATGAAAAACAAAAAAAGGTACTAAGAAATCTGTTCCACTGTAGGACTGAGGGGATGGCAGGCGGTGGGGTGGGGACAAGCCCTGTGCAACTGGTGCAGTGACTCACTGTCTGGTGCTTCCACCTGAAGAGGGCCACAGTGGCTCTTGTACTCAGAGTACAGAGAGGCGCTTCAAATGTTCAGTGTTGGAGAGGTGGGGCAGCCCAGCCCCATGGCCATGGTGACCCCCTTAATGTCCTTAGCCCTCTGTCCTCACCTCCAGTTCAGAACTGAAGGAAGCCTGGCAGTTTGCAGAAAGCCTTAGTATCACTGAGCCCCTGGGAAAGGCTGGTCTCCAGGACACAGTCAAGAGTGCATGCTGAGCCTGCATCCCACACACACCCTGTCTTACTGGGCGTGAGGCAGTGAGGGTTGGAGACACAGTATTTCTTATCTCTAAGAGCTTGAATTCAAGCATGAAAAGAATTCCCCCCAAAACTGCAACCGCAGGCCCCGAGGAATGCTGCAGAGAAATAGGGTAAGTCCACGTCAGCTGGGCAGTCTGGGGCTTCTCTTAGGGCTGGCAGGGTTGAGAGCCCAGTAGCAGCGTGGCCTCTGCAGAGACCTGTGCTAAGGACACTGCACAGGGAGCAAGAGCAAAGGTCCTGGGGCAGAACCCAGCCTGGCATCGCGGCTAGAAAATACCGACTGCACAGCTGGGAGGAGGAGACTGCTGTGTCCTCATGAGTGAGGTTTTCAGATGCTGTGCATAGGCTGCCAGCAGATGCCATAAGGCAGTGCAGGCTGGTGCAGTGTGGTCGCCAGCAGGGACGGGAAGGTGTAGACCACAGAAGTCCCACCGACCCGTTTTATACCTTTTGTCACTCAGGTGGCTGTGCCGACACAAACTTGGAGACCACCACCCATGCCATTCCAAGTCTTGGCGAACCTTGACATCTGAGGGGTGAGAAGCACACCTGACCAGGCCACTGTCTTAGGAGAACACATGAGATTTGATCTGTCAGTTTGGTTAAGGAAGCAGGTGTGTGGGGTTGGAGAACACCTGAGACAGAAACAGGGCTTTCACCAGGTACCAAAGGGAAGGCTTCACTTCTGTAAAACTGGCGTCTTGGAGAGGAAAGTATTGGCCAAATGACTGCATGCCAGTTTCCCCATTCATCACCCCAGAAAAAAGGCCTGCTCCAGGCGGACCCTGTCACACATCCCACACACCAGCCGGAGGTAACAGTTTCCATAGGAGAACTGCTGTCCAGACTCAGAGTAGATCTGAGAAGGTGAAGCCAGGGGCTGGACTGCACTTTCTAAAAAGGTCAGGTGATATAGGTCCTCAGGTCAGTGAGGCAGCTTCTCAGCCTTCTGTTAGTGTGAAGGTAGCCAGGCAGAAAAGAACTGAGTGAGTCCAAGTGTGTGTGCTCCAAAACTTTCTTTGAAAACCCAAGCAACAAGCTGGAACTAGTCATAGTTTGTAGATACCTGCCTTCTGCTGTGGATTCTCCTGTATGGGACAGGGACCTAAAATAACCACAGCTTAAGACAGAAGTTTCTGTTTCTCTGTTACATAGTCACAATGCTCTATGAAGGTGACAGCGGCCCAGGCTCCTACTATCTTGTTGCTCTGCCATTCTGTATCGCTTTTGACTTTATGGTGAAGACTAATGGGTAACCATGTCCACATTCCACATAGAGAGGGAGAGGGAAGGTAAGTCTCTTTCCCAAACTTGTGGTCAGAACTCGGTCACAGTGCCACAGCTAGCTGCAAGAGAATCTGGAAAGTGCATTTTTGTTTGTCTCACTAAAACTGGAATTTTTTCTACCACATCCACTTCACCTGTGGCCTTTTGTTGCTGTTGTTTTTGGTTTTTCCAGACCGGGTTTCTCTGTGTAATAGCCCTGGCTGTTCTAGAACTCTGTAGACCAGGCTGGCCTCAGATCGACAGAGATCCACCTACCTTGGCCTCCCCGGTGATGGGATTAAAGGTGTGGCCACCATGCCCAGCTCTCCTGTGTGCTTTTATTTTATTTATTTATTTATTTTTATTTTTTATTTTTTTGGTTTTTCGAGACAGGGTTTCTCTGTGTAGCTTTGCGCCTTTCCTGGAACTCGCTTTGGAGACCAGGCTGGCCTCGAACTCACAGAGATCCGCCTGCCTCTGCCTCCCGAGTGCTGGGATTAAAGGTGTGCGCCACCACCGCCCGGATTCCTGTGTGCTTTTAAAACATTCCTCAGGGCGTAATACAGGCCTGGTGGGACTCATTCCCAGGGCTGGTTGACACTTACTGCTCTGCCCCTAGTTTGAACTCTTGGTTGGACCTTTGAGGAGAGCCAAAGACAGGGCCTCCACAGGAAATCTCAGTGTTGGCCAAATGAAACACAAAGCAGAAGGCATCTCTGTTTGATGCCAGGCTGGTTCTTCTGCAGGCTGGGCCAGCTCTGCCCTGTGCCCCTGCTCCTCACTTCCATATGTTCTCTGGCAGTTCCCACTCAGAAGCCGGGGCTCCCTCTTCAGATACTTTAACATGGATGTTTGGTTTTTAGACACCCATTCTGTTGGTTTACTCGTGGCACCCCATTTGTGCATATAAAAATATCCCATCACTAGAACGGGAAACAAAAGTAGTAAAATGGAGCGTGAATTCTCTGACAGCCGGCAGCACCTTGCTGCGCTATTGCCCCTGAGTCGGGGAAGGTTGGCATAGGGATGGAAGAGACAGGGCCTAGAACTAACCCCCCACCCCCACCCCGGGACCTCAGGGTCCAGCTCACTCCTACTTCCCCATCCCCAAAGGCTCTATGCAGTCCTGGAACTCACTCAGCATCGCAGGCTAGCAGCCCTTCACTCCCCCACCCCCACCCAGGCACAGAGCCAGGGCAATTTCCTCCTGCAGCCCCTGGCATCCATCTGGGAAAAATTAAAGGTGATTATAGAATCCGAAGCTATTTAACTGGGATTGAAGGAGATCGGAGTAATTCTTCCTTCTCGCTTTCTCAACACATCTATTCATCCAATGTCTCTGCTTCTGGAAAGACCCTATGTTCTCGAAAAACTGCAGATGTGGCCTCAACTTTTGCCTTCCTGGTAGGGTAATTAAATCCTTCCAGGAGACCTGCAACCCTAGCATGGGTGGATCCCCCAGCTGTGGAGCCCCATCACTGCAGAGAGGGCTCATGCCTACTCAAGGGCTCCCCTAATCATGCCCGATGTAGTGCTGATGGAGCCCTGCTTTCTGGGCAAAGTCCCAACCACACTCAGTCCAGGCAAAGGTGCCAGGGGTGGTGTGGGCATCACGGACTTGGTGGTGCTGCCTGAGAAGTGGACTGGGTCTTGGTGGACAATCAAGGCCTCGGAGGAGGGGATGAGCAGGCACAGGTGAGGCAGAGTCAAGAAGGCCCCTGCAGCTCAGGGGCCATCGTCTTCCGGTGCTCTCACTTCAGATGATGCTCCTGGAACTTGCTTCTGTGAAGGTGATGAGGTCGTGGGTGCAGTGTGGCACCCCTAGGTGGCCTGAGGGATATGGGGGAGAGAGGGAAGGGCAGGAGGACTCTCCAAACCCTTGGAACCACGCCAGCAATCACCCATGACTACTCTATGCAGAAAGCAAGATACACACACACACACACACACACACACACACACACACACACACACACACACGTACGTGTGTATATATATAGATCCCTGCTGTACGTGGATGAGCAGGCAGAAGCACAAAGAAATGAAAGGTGCAGCCAGCATCAGAACCGAAGGTCTGCCTGTCCGACAGAGTGGTAAGCATGGTGATGAAGACGCTGCCTGAGGTGAAGCTCCATTCCCTAGGCAAGGACAAGTTTCATCATCCAAAAGCTGGGGTCTTGAACTTGGCAGCTCCATACCACTGTAATGCTACATGTCAGCCATTACTGCTCCTGAGACAGTGACAAGCAGCCCTGACATCCGGGATCGACCTGCCAGGCCTCTGTCTGGGGAACAGATGCAGGTTCACAGAACACGTTAGAGACAAGGCTAAGGTGGAGACAGACAAGACTGAATATTGCCCAAGCCAGGCGCGTGACTGGCTAACACAAGTGACTGCTGCTGTACCAGTCTTGGCTTCAGCCCCACTCCCTCCCTCCTGGGTCAGTCATTGCCTGGCATGGTGGCACGTGTCTTCAGTCCCAGCATTTGGGAGGCAGAGGCAGGTGGACTTCTGAGTTGAAGGCCAGCCTGGTCTATAGGACGGTCGGGGATACACATGACTCCCAGATGTCTGAGCTGCTTGTCAGTGTCTCAAGAGTTAACTGCAGATGCTGTAGCACGCTCCAAACGGAGACTTTGTCTCAGAAAAACAGAACAAAAAGGGGGGCAGGAATCATGGATGCCTCTACTTTTTGGCAACACCCACCCCTGAGCAATAGCCTTCCTCTTTGAGCCCTTCCTAAAACCAGACACACAAGCCCAATCCTATAGTCCCCCCTGACACCCCTCCACACTCACACTTGTTTTTGTTTTTCGAGACAGGGTTTCTCTGTGTATCCCTGGCCGTCCTCAAACTCAGAGGTCTGCCTGCCTCTGCCTAGTGCTGGGATTAAAGGTGCACACTACCACTGCTGCCCGGCCCTAAAAACCCTTTTAAGACATGATTCCTGCCTACAATCCCCCAGTGAGGGGCTGGGGGTGTGGCTCAGTGGTAGAGCCCCTGCCTAGAATCCCCCAGTGAGTGTCTGGGGGTGTGGCTCAGTGGTAGAGCCCCTGTCTAGAATTCCCCAGTGAGGGGCTGGGGTGTGGCTCAGTGGTAGAGCCCCTGTCTAGAATCCCCCAGTGAGGGGCTGGGGTGTGGCTCAGTGGTAGAGCCCCTGTCTAGAGTCCCCCAGTGAGGGGCTGGGGTGTGGCTCAGTGGTAGAGCCCCTGCCTAGAACCCCGCAGTGAGGGGCTGGGTGTGGCTCAGTGGTAGAGCCCCTGCCTAGAACCCCCCAGTGAGGGGCTGGGGTGTGGCTCAGTGGTCAAGCACATGCATAGCATACACAAGCCCCTGAGTTAGGTTCATTTTTTTTTTTTAAGATTTTATTTATTATGTTTACAGTGTTCTGCCTCCATGTAACCTTGCACACCAGAAGAGGGCACTAGATCTCATTACAGATGGTTGTGAGCCACCATGTGGGTGCTGGGAATTGAACTCAGGGCCTCTGGAAGAGCAGTCAGTGCTCTTAACCTCTGAGCCATCTCTCCAGCCCCTAGGTTCATATTTTTATATTCTTTATTCTATTTTGTCTACATGTATGTATGTGCAACGAGTGCGTGCCTGGTGCCTGAAGAGGTCAGAAGAAGACACTGGATCTCCTAGAACTGGAGTTATGTATGGTTGTGAGCCACTATTCAAGTGCTGAGAACAAAACCCAAGTCTTCCACAAGAGCAACTTAACCCCTGAATCTGTCCAGCCCCCTGAATTAATTTGTTGCAAGCACCACAAAATAGAGGGCTTTTATTGGGGAAAATTATAAAGGCCACTCCACGTAGTTAAAAGGAAGATTTATTTAGTGGATGACTTACAAATGAAGGAATGGATAGGTTGCGGGGGGGTCTGGGGAAGGTGTATCGCAATCCAGCGGTGTTCTCTGGAGCTCTGCACTGGCAATCTCCACCGTCCAGAGTCCAGGCGCAGAGAGCGCGCCCAGAGAGAGCGCTCGCCCATCCAGCTCTAGGGTTTCCAGCACCTCCCCTCGCCCCGCCTCGTAGGCGTGACAGTTGCCAGAGTCTCAATGGAGGTTGGAACTTCCAGATCCAAGCTGGAATCGCTACCCAGTACAGGCTTTTGTTTTGTTTTGTTTTTCGAGACAGGGTTTCTCTGTGTAGCCCTGGCTGTCCTGGAACTCACTCTGTAGACCAGGCTGGCCTCGAACTCACAGAGATGTGCCTGCCTCTGCCTCCCAAGTGCTGGGATTAAAGGTGTGCGCCTCCACGGCCTGGCTGCTGCACCTTTTTGATGTGAGAAACTGAAGCTCAGTCACATTGAGTGTCTAGGGAGGAGTTGGGACAAGAATCTTGTGGGCTCATTCCCAGTCCCCAGTTGCACGGTCACATCCCCAGCCCAAGCCTCACCTGGAAGCCCCTGGTCCCTCTGAATAATATCCTGCTTCTGCCTGTACGCAGAGCAAAGTACATCTGATCAAGAAGGGAGGCCACTTCTGGCACGTAGCTAGCTAGGGTCACTGCAGCCACTTCCAGCAGGAAGGGCTGAGATATAGAGGCCCCTTTAATGTCACTCCAGCACCTACCCCCTCTATCCAACAAGTCTCAAAGAGATTGCCTCCTGAGCTGCCAAGACTCCTCTCCTTGGGAGAAGCCTGCCACTCCATGGTCTCTTCAGAGTGATGGCCCTCCATGTACTAGTCAAGGAAAAAGAATGGGTGAGGCTGCCCATGTGTCACCAGCCATAGAGAGCCTGTTAATTTTTTGATAGCCATTGAACTCTGATGACACTCACTAGAAAAGCTTCACCCGTCTCATATGAGAGACTCCTCAGGTTTGTGACCCCTTGGTCTTCAAACCCCTGTGACCTCTGATATTTGTTTGTTTGTTTTTTTCCGAGACAGGGTTTCTCTGTGTAGTTTTAATGCCTGTCCTGGATCTCGCTTTGTAGACCAGGCTGGCCTTGAACTCACAGAGATCCGCCTGACTCTGCCTCCCGAGTTCTGGGATTAAAGGCGTGCACCACCACCGCCTGGCTCTCTGACCTTAACTAAGCTAAATCCTTGAAAGGTGGAACCCTTGATCTTTCATACCAGCCTCGTCCTAGTTTCTCACGTGGGTCCAGATAAATTAGTGGCACTCACACTTCAGCCCGCCTCTTCCCAGGAGATATCCTTCTCTGTCATCTGTGATTCTTGTTTCACCTATAACCATCTGGGTTGCGCTGTTCCCACGCACTGCCTTCTGCCCTTAGCTCGCGACGCCCTCTAGCTTTCCTTCTCTTGCAAGGAAAGCCTTAGCTGCGCCTGGCAGTCGATCGCCACAGCGCTGCCACCGGAGGAGAGCAGGGTAGAGTCTTCCCAGTCTCCAGACTCTAGTGATCTCCGGGCCTGATGCCCCACGCGTGTCTCCGAGCCAGGTTCAAGGTTGCAGTCCGGCATTAGTACAGTCACGCCAGGCAGGTCCTGGGACTAGCAGGTGGAGAGGTCCTTCCCTGTACCGAGTTGCTTGATGATGACGTTGGACTGCGTTCCGTACAACGCGAGGCTTTCTGCGCGGGCGCATCGCTTCTGGTTCCCTTTGCCGTACAAGCCTAAATTACTGCGCAGGCGTTTTGGTCGCTGGTCGTGGTGGGAATACCACCACTAAGCTTTCTGCGCACGCGCTTGGGCTACATTGTGCCTCTGCCCAGAGTCTTAGCTAGGAAGAAGAGAGCGCCCCCGGTGTTGAGTGCTGCCAAGAACTTTGTCTCTTCGCGGCGGCACTCCAAGACACACCCGGTCTTGGAAGGAAAGACGTCAGGATAGAGCTACCGAAGGCGTCTGGATGTCTCTGAATCCTGACGCTTCAACCCCTTTGGCCTCCAGCAGCTCGTCTTAAGGGGCGGGGCTCCCGCTGCTCTCTCCCCGCGCGTCTACACTTTGCTCGGTTGGTGATTTGGAACCGGGAGAGGGAGGGTCATCCTCGAGTCTCCGAGAGATTGGCAGTCAGATTTCTGAGTTTTGGAAATAGAGAAATGCATTCGGGTGGAGAATGGACAGACGCCTCGCTCTTCAGGGAATCGGTCATGGGCGTTGGGTTTCTAGGTCTTACAGGGTGACACTGGAGAATGGAAGTGGAGGACAGGCTGGAGGACTGAAATCTGGATTTACAGTGGGGCAGCTAGAAAAGGGTGTTGTCGGGTGTGGTAGCGCATGCCTTTATTATCAGCGTTCTGGGAGGCAGAGGTTCTCTGAGTTCCAGACCAGCCAGGACTACACGGTGAGACCCCGCCTTAAAAAAAGAAGCAAACAAAAAGTCTTGCGTGTTCCCTGACCCATGTCTTTCCCCACATCTTGCTTTCCAGCAATGCCTCTGCCGCAGGGTGACGTGACTGCCTTATTCCTGGGGCCTCCGGGCTCGGGAAAGTCCGCGCTGATCGCCGCGTTATGCGACAAGAATGTAGACATGGTCGAGATTCCTGAAGGACGGCCGGATTCTGGAGTCCCCAGTCTGAGAGCGGCGGCTCCAGGCCTCTTCCTGGGCGAGCTGAGCTGCCCACCCGCAGCTCCGGGGCCCTGGGCGGCGGAGGCCAACTTGCTGGTATTGGTGCTACCAGGACCTGAGGGGACCGAGGAGCCCTTGACCCCAGCTCTGGGAGAGGCAGCGCGGGCCGCCCTGGCCGGAGGGACCCCGCTGCTGGCAGTACGGAATCTGCGTCCTGGAGACTCCCAGAATGCAGATCAGGCCCGGGATCAGACTGCGGCCTTGCTGAAGAGTGCTGGGTTAGGAGCTGCGCCTCTCTTTGTGCTGCCGGCCAATGGCAGCAGCAGTGACTGCGGCGAGGAGCTAGAGCGCCTGCGGGTGGTGCTGCGGACCCAGGCGGAGGCGCTGCAGAGGTGAGGAGACATGCGCGCTGGGTGGGGTGGCCTGATGCCTTTAGCTTAGACCCAGCTCAGCCACCGTGCTCTTTAAGGTTCTCGAGCCCTGTTCCTAGAGAGCTGGAGACAAGACTTTATTGGCTGTCTATCCTTCCATACCCTACCCTAGATCCCCCAACCCCCACCCGCCCATGAGCACAGATTTTGAGATCAGGGAGGTTCCACCATAAATGGGTGCTTTTTTTTTTGGACCCTTTTCTGTTATTTAAAGCTTGCACCCGCCAAGGGTCAACCGGAGGGCCGGCCACAAAGGTCTTATCTCGTGCAAGCTCTCTGACATCACAAGCCTCCTCTCTGGTGAGATTTGAGAAGAGGCCCAGACACACGCAAATAGTATCTACAGGCAAAATTCCGGACTCCATTTCTCTGTGACATTTGCGATTCCTCGATGATTTCCCCCGAAGATGCTCCAGCACTCCCGTACTCCTCCCAGCCGCCCCACCCCTACCCCCGCCCCAGCACCAAACCCTTAAGGAGCTCTGTTTCCGTCGCTCGCCCCGCTCTTCCATTCCCCAGTCCCCTCTGCTAAATCCACCCCTCCCCAGCTGCCAGCTACCTCAATTTATGCATCCGTCTGAGAGCCACTTCTCATTTATTAACCTTACCTGCCCCGCCAGTGCTAGATGAGATTTCTCCCCTCACATGCCCTTCCTAACATCCACCCTTAGGGAAAAAAAAAAAAAAAGCCTTTGGGGGCGCCATAGGCCACAAGGCAGTTGCCACCACCCCCTAGAAAACTTCTCCTGCCCAGCACATATTTGGAAAAGTCCTGGTCCTGAGGGCTGTATCTGGGGAAGTCATAACAGGGTCCTCATTTTAGGGTCTGTTGGAAACCTGCCCTGCAGTATCCAGACCTCTGGGTAGCCCTAAGACCCTCCCTTAACTTTATGGTTCCGTCCCACCTGGTTTCTTTTTTTTTCTTTCTTTTTCGTTTTTCTTTTTCTTTCTTTTTTTTTTTTTTTTTTTTTTTTTTTTTTTTTTTTTTGTTTGTTTGTTTGTTTGCTTGGTTGGTTGGTTAGTTGATTAGGTTTTTGGTTTTGGTTTTTCGAGACAGGGTTTCCCTGTGTAGTTTTGGTGCCTGTCCTGGATCTCACTCTGTAGCCCAGGCTGGCCTTGAACTCACAGAGACCCGCCTGGCTCTGCCTCCCGTGTGCTGGGATTAAAGGTGTGAGCCACCACCGCCCGTGCTTTTCCTGCTTTTAAAACTCTTCTGCCTTTGACCTTTCCTACTCTCCCTCCCCCACCCGCAGGTTCCTGCCACCTGCCCAGGATGGCTTCGAGGTGCTGGGCGCAGCAGAGCTGGAAGCTGTGCGCGAGGCCTTCGAAACCGGTGGCCTGGAGGCGGCGCTGTCGTGGGTGCGCGCTGGCCTTGAGCGCCTGGGCAGCGCGCGACTGGACCTGGCGGTGGCCGGCACTACCAACGTAGGCCTTGTACTAGACATGCTATTGGGACTGGATCCTGGCGACCCAGGGGCTGCGCCTGCTTCGGAACCCACTGGGCCCACCCCTTATCCGGCTCCAGAGCGCCCTAACGTGGTGCTCTGGACCGTTCCCCTGGGCCCCACCGCCACATCCCCTGCCACCACCCCTCACCCAACCCATTACGACGCCCTGATCCTTGTCACCCCTGGGGCTCCCACCGAAGAGACCTGGGCCCAGGTCCGCTCATTGGTGTCACCAGATGCTCCACTGGTCGGCGTGCGCACGGACGGCCAGGGCGAGGATCCACCCGAGGCTCTGGAAGAAGAAAAGGCTGAGAAGCTCGAGAAAGCAAGCGGCGGGAGCTCAGGGGATGCCCGCAGCGAAGGCAAAGAAAACCGTGGCTCCGGGGACTCGGGGCCCACGGCTGCTCGGAGTCCGGAGGACGAGCCGTGGGAGGTACTGGAGGAGGTGCCTCCGCCCGTGTTCCCTCTGCGGCCCGGTGGTCTCCCGGGGCTGGGAACCTGGCTTCAGCGCGCACTGCCTGCGGCTCAGGCCGGGGCGCTGCTGCTGGCGCTGCCACCCGCAAGTCCCCGCGCAGCGCGGAGGAAGGCAGCGGCGCTACGGGCAGGGGCGTGGAGGCCAGCCCTGCTGGCCAGCCTGGCGGCGGCGGCCGCCCCAGTACCAGGATTGGGCTGGGCTTGCGATGTGGCACTTCTCCGGGGACAGCTGGCTGAATGGCGGCGCGCGCTAGGCCTCGAACCAGCGGCAGTGGCACGCCGGGAGCGTGCCCTGGGCCTTGCTCCTGGAGTGCTGGCCGCGCGCACGCGCTTCCCGGGCCCGGTGACACGCGCCGAGGTGGAGGCCAGACTGGGATCCTGGGCTGGCGAGGGCACCGCGGGAGGCGCGGCGCTGGGTGCGCTCTCCTTCCTATGGCCCGCAGGTGGCGCAGCGGCGACGGGTGGCCTGGGTTACCGTGCAGCTCACGGTGTACTGCTGCAGGCCCTGGATGAGATGCTGGCTGATGCTGAGGCGGTGCTGGGACCCCCAGAGCCCAACCAGTGAGGGGTGTGGTGGGGGCTGGAATGTCTGGTGACTTGGTTTCTGGCCCCACAGCTTCTGAGATTGAGGGGTGAGGGGTGGTACTCAAACCCGGGGACTTGAAGGAGACTGACTTCTGGTTGAAACCTGCGACTTCACAGTCACCCGATTTCCTGGGTTCTGAGGGAGTAGGGTCTGAGCACCCTTAGTTTGACATTCAGACAGTAATGTAGGGAGGGGAGTTGGGGGCTGGACTCCTAGAAATGGGAGCCTTTTGGCCTCCAGCTGGCATCTGGTCCTAGATCTGGCCGCCTCAGTTCCTGCCTGACTGTGGGTGGCCCTATGGCTGTGGACGGTGCTATAGGGAGTTAGAACCCTTGGAGTGTTGAGTCCCAAAGGAAAAACGAGATGTAAGTTGCCCAGAAAGAACAGGTTTTCAGGACCGACCCAAGAGGACTTGGGACCTTCATTTCAAATGAGAATCTTAAACGCTGGTTCCTAAGAAGGTTCTGTGGACATTGGTTGTCAATTCCTGGGTGGTGGGAAATCTGTGGAGATCAGGGGCTTGCTGGAGACCCCCTGGTCACATGGAGAGTGGAGGATCATCCACCATTTACTCTCCAAGGCTTTGTTGTGGAGAACACTGCCCCACAAGATTGAAGGGAAGGGACAAGAGGTCTGGGAATGGTGGTCTCCTGATGGCCAGAATCTGGGCTTTGGGTCTTTGAGGTATAGAGAAATAGAAACCTATACTTCAGAAATACCTCGGTGAGCTCCTGATGTCCTGGGATCCTGGCAACTGCCTCTCTGTGCATTACTGGGCAGGGGTGTGACTACCCCCACTTTATAGGTGCTGGGTGACTGGGGTCTCCAGCATACATGCTCCTGTTCACTTGAGTTTATCACTGGTTTCTTCTGTCGTGACGACCTTAACTCTTGGGCCTTGGAGTGTTGTGGTCCTGGTTTTTTGGAAAGACAGGAGGGTCCTGCTGTAGCGGTCTAGACTTCTCTGCATGGCCTCCGCCCATGTCCCCAAGATACCTGGTCCACACAGGATGCTGCTGTGGGCAGGGTTTCCTACGATAGCTGGGCAGGCGTCCGCTGCTGTGGGAAGGTGTCAGGAGTGAGGCAGAGGCAGAAACCACAGTGCTGTGGTTTGTTTGGGTGGTAAGTGCCACCATAAAGTTGTTCAGTGTCAAAAGCAGAAAAGGAGGACCTGGTAGATGGGAACACCAGACTCAGAGATGCAGGCCAGAGGCTCATCAACACAGCAAGTCACTGTGTGCCTTGGTCCCCGCCTCTCCCCATTGCCAGCCCATCTCCAGCAAGCCTGAGTTGTCTTTCTGATGCTTGGGTCCCACCTCAGGACTGGGGCATTTTCTGTCTTTCTGTGGAATGCTCTGCCTCCCCATCCTTTTTTCAGATTGGGTCCTCATCCATCAGGTCTCCCTGAAATGGCCCCTTCAGAAGCCTCCTGATGACCCCAAGTAGCTTACACTGATCCTGGCCACTTGATGGTCCTTGTAGTAAACATTACTATCAATAATGGGTTTACAGGCCGGGCGGTGGTGGTGCACACCTTTAATCCCAGCACTCAGGAGGCAGAGCCAGGTGGATCTCTGTGAGTTCGAGGCCAGCCTGGTCTACAGAGCGAGCTCCAGGACAGGCACCAAAACAACAGAGAAACCCTGTCTCGAGGGGAAAAAAAGAAAAGAATAATGGCTTTGCTTATGTATTCATTCTTTCATTCTCCCGTTTGTCGGCTCTTGCCCCTTGTTTGTCCTTTTCTTGGGTGTACCCTAGCACCCAGAGCAGTGCCTGACACGCGGTGTGTGCCTAGTATTTATTATTTTAGTTTACTGATCATTGGCACATGGCCTGGGATTCAGGCTGTCAATATCTTGTTACAAAAAGACACAAGCTAGGGAGAGGCGAGCGCCTGGTGGGAGAGAAAATGGGGAGCAGAATGAGTGTCGTGTAAGTCCATCCGTCAGATGAAGGGATTCGAACCATAAGAGGGCTGCATTGTTAGCTTCTACCCCCATCTAACTGATGGAGCGTGCCCCTGTGAAAGTCAAGAGGGCACCTGATATGGCAGCATGTGCATGTAACCCCAGCATGTGAGAGGTGGAGATAGAATTAGAAGTTTGAGACCAGGGCTGGAGAGATGGTTCAGCGGTTAGGAGCACTGGCTGCTCTTCCAGAGGACCCTGGTTCAATTCCCAGCAACCACATGGCAGCTCCAGTTCCAGGGCATCTGACTCCTTCACACAGAGTATATACAGGCAAAGCACCAGTGCACACTGAATAAATAAAATAGATCTTTTTTGTTTGGTTTGGTTTTTTGAGACAGGGTTTCTCTGTGCAGCTTTGCGCCTTTCCTGGAACTCACTTGGTAGCCCAGGCTGGCCTGAACTCAGAAATCCGTCTGGCTCTGCCTCCCGAGTGCTGGGATTAAAGGCGTGCACCACCACCGCCCGGCAATAAAATAGATCTTAAAAAAAAAAAAAGGTTAAGACCATCTTCATGCCCTCTCTCACTATTCAGTCTAGACTGGCCTTGAACTCCCGGTGGTGTGGCCCCTGCCTCTTCTCTCTCCCTGCCCCAGCCCATTCAGCCTCCCCGGGGCTTGATTACAGCCCTAAACCCCAGCTCCCAGCTCCCCTTAGCTCTTAGTGAGCTGCCTGGCATGGTCTCCACTGAGAGCCCATTGCTCCTTACGCCTCAGCACACCTCAGCTCACGTGATACACCCAGTTGGAAATACTTGAATTCCTCCTAGGTGGAGAACTCAATTCACATACCCATGTTGTGTCGATTAGGTTCCCCCCAAAACTGGGGTTTGAACCCAGTGCCTCACATACTCAAGGCAAACACTCTTCACTGGAACTATGTCCTTAGCTCTTCATTGGGGACGTGGGGTGGGGGGTGGGGTGGGGTAGCGTTGGGGTGGGTATTATTTCTGGGCAGGGGCTCTACCACAGAGTCACACTCCCAGCCCCTCACTGGGGGATTCTAGCCAGGGGCTCTACCACTGAGTTACATTCTCAGCCTGCTTTCTTTCTTTTTTTCTCTTTTTTGAGACAAGGTCTCACTAAGTTGCCTGGACTGGCCTTGAACACACTCCATCCCAGACAGGCCTTGAATTTGGGATCTTCCTCCCTCAACCTCCTGGGTCACTGAGGTCACAAGCCTTCACCAACTCCTGGCTTTCTAGTTTTTCCAAACCTGTCCTGTGTCAGTGAATCAAATACAAATAAAATCTGAGGTTGCTGTTTCTCAGCGGCACTAGCCACCTATCGGACCCTTAGTGGCCACCGTGTATGACAATACAGATGTGACAGTGACTCCAGGATTATAGGGGGTCTGTGCACAAGGTCCAGGGGCAGAGTTGAGGAGGATACTGGGCAAGTCACCAGCAAAGGGCTTCTAGCAAGGTGTGTTAGTTGCGTCCCTTGTTGTGGGACAGAATACTGGAGGGAGAGGAGCTTATTCACAGATGCGGTCCACCGTGGCGGGAGAGTCACCGCAGCAGGAAGGTGAGGCAGCTGGTCACCGTGAGGCCACGTTTGGGAAGCGGAGAGAGAAATACTGGTCCTCAGTTCGGTTCCTCCTTTTCCTTCACCCCAGGACCACAGCCTATTGAATGGTTCCTCAAACAGTAGGTAGAGCTCAGATAACCTAATCTAGACAATCTTCCATAGCCACATCGGGACAGAGAGTGTAGACTGTCCGTTAGCAGCATTCACCGCCACAGCAGGTAGCTGAGATTTCGCTGTGTATACACAGGCACGTGTCTGAGCATGCGCACTGGCACGTGAACACGCTTGAACACATGCCCAGCTCACATGTACCACCATCCCTCCAGAGAGGCTTTGAACACAGATGCCTGGGTCCTACTCCCCTTGGCCTGGTAAAGGTCAGACAGCCAACCCGGCACCTTCGGTGACTCCTGCGAAGTGCCCCACTCCCACTAACACGCTGGTTCTGTGTTTTATTTTCTGATATTTTGACACAGCCTAGGCTGGCCTTGAACTCAGTATGTAGCTGGCGGTGGCCTTGAAACTCTGGTCTTCCGGCCTCCACCTCAGGTGCTGGGACCACAGGCATGTGTCCCCGTACCCAGCTCTAACGTGTCTTACTCTGGTGCCTCACGGCATCCCCATCCCTGCGCTTTGCTTTGCTGCTGTCTCTTCTCGAGATGACACATCAGAAGAAGCATGTTGTAGCCGTTGCATGGCTGGTCAGCTCCGTAGACTTAGATAGCAGCGATTCTGGGTTGCTGGTGTTTTTGTCACTAGAGGGTCCAGGCTGTCTCAAACTCTTGATCCCAGGTATTGTCCTGTCACTCTTCTGTCCTGGGTTACAGGCAGGGATGGCTGCCTTTTTTTTTTTTTTTTGTCTTTTCCGAGGTAGGGTGTCTTACCGTGTAGCTCAGACTGGCCTCAAACTCATGCCCCAGCCTCTGAGGTTCTAGGATTACAGGTGTAAGCTACGACATATGGTACCTACATCTTTCGTTAGGGTTTTGGGCTTTTCCAGGGTGTAAGTAAAGCTGAGTGAGGGGCCCGTCTCTGGAAGCCTACACATAGAAAAGGCTCAGCCTCCCTTGTGGGCTGCTAACAGGATGCTCCCATGAGGCACCTCGGTCTGGAAGAGCCTAGAGGCAGGGATTCTGGGAAATGTCAGCCCTCCAGGCTGGAACTGCAACTGTACCGTGGATTGTGGCCGTGGCTCTCTCAGAGAGCAGGTTCCAAAAGTTGATGAGTGGATGAGATAACCCTCAACACGGGGGAGAACCCTACATTTCTGGCTCATGAAGGGACTGTCTGTTGGAACAGGGGACAAATCCAACAGTCTAGTCAACCTGTGGTGTGTTTCAGAAAAAACGAATAAAAGAGAGTAGAAATCCTATTATGTGTGTCTTTTTGTTAACGGTTTGATTTATTAATTTTAAGCATCTGTGTGCGTGTCTGTGCTGGGAAAGGTGCTTTCGTCTCCTGAGCGATCTCTTCAGCCTTGAACTTGACTTTTCTTTTCTTTTGAGTTTTTGAGACAGGGTTTCTCTGTGTAGCCCTGTGTAGCCCTGGCTAGAACTCACTCTGTAGCCCAGGCTGGCCTCGAACTCACAGAGATCCACCTGCCTCTGCCTCTGCCTCCCGAGTGCTGGGATCAAAGTCGTGCGCCACCACTGCCTGGTGAACTTGGTGATTTATAAGAGCCTGTGATGGCCAAGCAACTGAACTCTGGAGCCAGCGTGACCCATTGTTCCCAAGTTCAGCCTCTCTGAGGACACTTGGATGTGCTCTCTCGGCCTGACTGGATTTCAGCCATGGTGACAACAGCAAACATGGTGCAATCAGAGGCTTGAAGTGTCGTGAACTGGACTTCCTCTCTGGCTGTCCTTGGGCTCCCTGCCATCACTGCCACATTGAGAGGCACAATGCCGATGTGTTTTCTTAGACTCCCCCAGTGAGGGGCTGGGGTGTGGCTCAGTGGTAGAGCACTTGCCTAGAATCCCCCAGTGAGGGGCTGGGGTGTGGCTCAGTGGTAGAGCCCCTGCCTAGAATCCCCCAGTGAGGGGCTGGGGGTGTGGTTCAGTAGTAAGATCACCTTCCTAGCATAGTCAAGGCCTATTCCCACTATTGACACAAAATTGATCAAAGCTTTTGGTATGTTCCCTGGGCTATATTTAAGTTCATTATCTTCCTGCCTCAGTCTCCCAAGCGTTGCGTTTAAAGGTGTACTCTACCAAGCCCTGCTAAAATCTCAAGCTCTGTTACATTTAAGCTATGTGATCTTCAAATTGGCATCTCCCTGTGAGCCTCAAGACCCACCTCCTGAGAGCCAGGATGAGAATGCTAGTGCCTCTTTGTAGACCCGTGAAGCAGATGAGAGTCTGCCTCTCAAAGGTGGGGGGAGGGGTGTGTCATCCTCGCTGGTTCTGAAATACCTAGCTCTCAGCCTTCTGACTGGGGAAGCAGTCTACTGGTGAGGTGTGGCCATGTGACCAGCTCCATCCACGGAGCTGAGAGCGTTGAGTCACTTCTGGGTCACACAGTGTTTCATCATTCAGGGGAGGCATTTCTAGGTTCTTCCCTTTGGCAAAGAAATGGGCTGATCCATGCCTGGGAGGAGCTGAAACCCCGCTTTGGATTATGCTAAACTTGTAGAGCGAAGGAAAGCACCAGCCTTTTGTGAATGGGTGCTCATTCAGCACATACACACCCCTCCCTCCCAGTGAGACACCCGTGTTGATGTTGGCTTTGACCTTGTGACTCACCTTAGTCAATGGAGTGCTTCTAGTGCTTATTTCAACAACAACAACAACCACCTTATATGCACTTGGCTTTCAGTTGTGAGAACATCTGCCAGGGAGCCACTGACGCAGAGGAGTTGCGGAAGTTCATGGAGGAGCCAGTTCTAGATCAAACCAGCTAGAAGGAGAGCCGTCCCAGCCAACCTACACGCCCTTAGAAACGAGAATGCTTGTTGTCTTAAGTCTTCGTTTGGGGCTGGTTTGTTACGTGGTGTTGCTGCAGCCCTGGCTGACTCATACACCTTTGTTGTTTTCAGCCCCTGAGATTAGGAAGTTGATACTGTAGCATAACTGTAGCCTGCTCCAGTGGGTGCCAGCGCTAGCACCTGCGGACTAATGGCCACCCTGTAAGTGGCAGCCATCACACTGATTAGTATTTACTGAAACATAGTGTCTGCAGAGCCCTCCTTCCTTTAGAGGTGGCACCCACGGCTCTAAGTGCTTTGCAAGTAGCATTTTCCATCATAAGACAACCCTGAGGTTCTCACTATTAATAGCCACCCGTCAGAGACATGAAAACTGAGGTGAGACACAGAGTCGAGTCAAAAGAGGTGACCAAGGCCTTTGGAGTGCGTGACAGACCAGGGTTCAAATAAGGCTTCTCACCTATCCTAGCTGTTCGACTCAAGGCGAGTGCCATCCACAATCTGCCTCAGTTTTCCCACCTGTAAAGTGGGATAATATCAATTGCAACTGGGCGGGGTTGTTCACAGCTGTAATCCCAGCATTCTAGATCATGAGACAGAGAGTGTGCCTTGAGTTTGAGGCTAGACTGCACTACTTTTGAGACCATCTCAAACAATAACAGCAAAACAACAAATCAACTTCATGGGACTGTGATCATAGCATGATTATAAAATATAAAATATGGCCCGGCGGTGGTGGCGCACGCCTTTAATCCCAGCACTTGGGAGGCAGAGCCAGGTGGATCTCTGTGAGTTTGAGGCCAGCCTGGTCTACAAAGCGAGTTCCAGGAAAGGCACAAAGCTACACAGAGAAACCCTGTCTTAAAAAATCAAAAATAAATAAGTAAATAAAATAAAATATAAAATACTTAGTGTGGGAGATTGGCATGGTACCCCTTAATAGAAAGCAAGGGCTACTTGCTTGTTTCCTTCTTCCTTTTTCTTTCTTTCTCTTTTTTTTTT